ATTACTTAATAAGTACTTATTCATTGCGGTTACTTTGTAAACCTTGTGTTCCTGGTGTTATGCAAGATCCACTCGACATGTAATTATTCACACCTTATCGAGGGGTTCCTGGTGTATAGGATAATGCACATATCGTTATGCACATGATCTCGTTACCTTCCACGCCGACTGAAATCTTCTATGCATGAACTAACACCAAGTTGCTGCCGTTCGAACAACGTTCCTCAAAAGCATCTAATCTAGGTCCTGAAAACCACCATTAATTGAGCATATTAACGTAAGATTAGAGTCCTACCCAAGTCATGTCTCCAGAGTATCACGGGCTTTCTTTCTTTCGATACCACGCCGAGCCGTGTTCGTTACCTGTAAGAGGAACGCATGAACTTACTGTGTACTGTGCTTCAATACCCCAGGACCCACCTTTGCCACAACGATCCAGGCGATCGCGTCCTGGACCCTAACCGAAATACGAGCATTGATTTGCAATCCCATACGCTTACACCGCCAGCATCCCAGCCTCGCTCTCCATAACCGCGCGAATCAGAATACAGACTGTTGGCTGAAATCTCAAAATACGATTTGGGCAAGAGAAGCCGAGAGGAGCTCACCGTGGAGAGCAAGGGAGCAATAGTCATCATGTCATTGGAGCGAAATCAGCAAGCGTCGACAACAAATGTATGATAGCGGCATCATTTCATGACTCTGTGTGAAATGAATCGATGACAACGGTATTTACTAAATATAACCATACGGATATCGCTATGTATCTTGAACCCTAACCGCATACCGCCTTTGATATACAGGTGCATGTACATTGTAAAACACCAAAACACCTCGCTCTTACAGAGAGCCTGCACAAAATTGCCATTACCAGAGTGCAGCATCCTTGTCAAACCGCACCAGCTCCTTGCCTGCATCCTCGACGTCTTTCCTCGCCTTCATACGCATGTAGAAGATTGGGCAATCTCTTGACGCACAGATGACCTCGCAGTGAACACTTCCCTGGCAGCGCTGACATTGCGTCCAAAGACGAGAGAAACGTACCTCGAGCTCACTGACCTTGGTCAAAGTCTTCGTGTATAGCTCAGGAATACGAGGTCGACAATTCTCACAAACTGCGCCGTCCTTTTCGTGTGCGGCAGTAAGAGGCTTCTTGCAACCCATGCATGTTTGCGTCTTCTTTGCAAACTTCATGAGACCACCCATGGTGGGTGCAGCGACAGAGATGGATCGTGTATGTTCACCTGTGAGGAGCGAGGCTGCTTTCTTTTCGCCTAGAATAGGCTCGAAAATTCTGCCAAGCGGTTTTGCGAGTTGGTTGTCGAGATAGTAACGCGTATCGATGGGTAGGTTGTTCTCAAGAACATAGATTGGGTCTTCAGACTTTTCGAAATTTTTTGCGCCAGTGGCAGCTCTGACCATGACATACGCGACACGGTCACCAAGAGCGGGTGCTGAACCCGCGTCACGTTTCTTCATACGCTCCGCGAGTTCCACGTGTGCCTGCTTGTTGGCGTAACCACCTTTGCCGTCCTTGTCTTCCTGTTTCGTAAGGGCTTTGGTGATGACTAGATTGGACATATCGATTTTGTTTTGTAAAAGGTCTGCAATAGTCTCCTTGACGAACCTGTTTCATGTTAGCGTGGACCACGTTTTCCAAAGCTGGCTGACTTACTCTTGTGCGCCCTCAGGATCTTTGTCGATCAGCAACATGCGGAGAGAGGTCTCGATGACAGTTTGGACAAGTCGACAATTGTCACGACGGACCGTTTCGATACCTTTGGTATCCATCTTGTCCCATTTGTTGGGGTTCGTCCAGTAAAGACCAGCATATCGCTTCTTGTTGATGAGGAGATAGGGGTAGTAGACCTTTTCGAACTCTAACTTGATAGGTTTGAGAAACTTCGACGTCACGTAGTTTGCCGCCTCCTCTCCCAGTTTCATTGCCTCTGCCAAATCCGTGGTACCAAACTTGACCATGACCGAATCGGTATCACCGTAGATGACCTCTGCATCGTGCGAGTATCCATTAGCGATATTGTACTTTGCTTCGACCTCAGCTTTGGCTCTTTCAATCATCTGACGACCGAAACTGGTTGTACTACTGGCGATCGCAAGACAGGGCAGCTTTCCGTTGGTGGCACCAGTCAGACCATAGACGGAGTTGGCGGTCACCTTCATAGCCAACTGACGACCGTTCAGCACAGCCTTCTTGAAAGGATCCGTCTCAACCGCCAGTTCCTTTTTCGCTTTCTTACGTGCGCTCAGCAGTTCTTCTAGAATTTCTGTCAAGAGTCCCTTCCGCGTCTTGGCGGTACAGAACATGTCTCCGTTGGGAGTTACGATGTAGTCTTCGTCCTTCTTCATCTTAAGCTTCTCCACCGTCTGTCGGTCCAGCCATGTCGTGTAACATAGGTTGTGGGCTTGCATGATGCTAGGGTATAGTGAAGCAAAATCGAGTGTAGCAACAGGTTCTTTGTAGTAACCACGCTTGGGCTCAATGACAGTCGCACCTTCGTATTGATCGCCACTTTCACCTTGGTTTGGAAGATCCGGGATGACGAGCTGATGCTCGAGAGCCTTACGGAACAGCTGGCTGATGAAGCGCACCTGTTGTCCTCTGGAGAGAATGTAATTGAAAGGAACACCTGTAGCCCTAGCCATTTCCGTGTAGTTGACCAGGCACATAAGCTTGTCGAGAAGACGTTGAGGAAGATAGGCATCCTTGAGACAGTATACAGCCAGACGTCTTCGTGAGTTCGAGTCACCGTTAAATAATTCTGTGATCATGCTGTGGTGTACATCTTCCTTTTGTTCCTTCAGGAAATGAGCGCATACAGAGTTGAGTGTGTAACTTCGAAGTTGATGGTCCCTTTGGACCAGCTGAAGCAAGTCGAGCTGTAGACGACCGTTGGTGTTAGTGGTTTTGGTATCTCTAGACCCCATCTGCTTGCTGGAGAAGTTGGATGTCTCCACCTTGGACTGGACCGTCTTGAGACGGGACCAATATGGAAATCTTTGGAGCTTCAGGTGCTTGGCGCGATCGAGCAAATATGGGAAATCGAAGTTACTGGTGTTGTAGCCAATGATGACATCTGGATCGACCTCGTCGAGAAAGTCGCGCCACTTCATCAGCATTTCGCCCTCATCTTGGAAGGACAGGATCTGCGTCGCAACGATAGGGCTGACCGTATCTAGACAGAAGACGTTCCTGATAAAGGGCTTGTCATCTCCGTATTTTGTAACAACGTTCGCAATCTGAATCACAGGGTCCACATTTGCCTCTGGGAAGACACCCTTGCGGCCAGCGCACTCGATATCGAAAGAAAGGATGCGAAGGGGGGCAATCTTTGCCCACTCGCCTTCAGCTTGGTGAGCGACAAGGTCTTGGTAATGTATCTGACCCTCAATCTGGCAATTGGAGTGCCGGTCTTGTGGACTGATCATTTTCCATTTGGCGGCAGGGGCTTCGACCCAACACATGCCGGTGACCTTTGTGTCAATCATAAATCGTAACACGTAGGCGATGTTGTCAAATGTGAGGATGCCATCTTCTCTGGCCGGCCAGAGTCGCTTGTAGTTGGCATTGCCCTTTTGTACCATCATGCGTACGCGGTTGATCAACTTGGGGTCGGTGACGGTGATCTTGAGGTATGGGCTCTTTTGGTTGCCCTGAAAGCGCAGAATGTTTTCCCTCATATGCATTGTCACTGACGCTATGACAGCGGAGTGCTGGTTGAAACTCTTTTGGCATTGGGCTTCGAGGAAGATCTTGTAGGGATCGCAATCGGCCTGTTGGAAGTTGACGGGCGCGGCGACGTAGAAGTAATGTTGGAAGCCAGTCACGTGGAGGAGAACGGAGTGACCAGTCTGTGATGTGCTTGTTAGTATTGCTTGATGTTATGCATCTGGCGGATTCTTACCTCTGTCACACCAAACAGTTTAACGGTCGTCTTCCCCCCATGAAGCACGCCCTCTTCAGCCTCAATTTGCTGGAATACGAGGCTGTTTTTTATCTCGCTGAAATCATGAGGTAATGGCGGCCGTCGCCATTGCTGGTCCTTTTCGGTATTTTCCTTCTTGAGGGTCTCCATGTCCTGTGTCATTTTCTCCAATGTCTCTTCGAACTGACTGGGGCCTGCCTGGCTCGAGTTAAACGAGTCGTTGGCCATCCTCCCAGGTGCTTTGCTCTTGTTCTTGCCATCCTGGAACTTCAATTTCTTTGCGGAGCGGGGCGATGTCTGTACATTGGTGCGCGTATTAGACGTCTCGGCGAGAGCGCGTTTCGCTGGCGCTCTTGTTACTGTACCCGACATGTTTTTGTATGACCAACAGATACAACACCCGAAAGAGTGGAATATGGTAGTTGGAAAAAGAGGGTGTGTTTGTTGTTGGGTCTGGTCGGGTCGAGTGGTTGCGCAGAGTGCCTAGGGGAACGCGAACCGTGTACAAGGCGCGAGCGCGTCATCCCTGCTAATTGATTGCCGCCACGCTAGTCATTGCCTCCCACCGTCTGCACGTGATAAGAGGCCTCTTTTCGTCCTGACCAACTGCTACATTTCTCAATCGATCTTTCAACCGCATATATGTTAATTGGCAGAAGTAGGAACCGCATTTTCAAACTAGTATCAAACATTTCGGTGTTTTTCGGTACTCATTCTTCATATACCTAGTCGAGCTACCAACCATGCCCATGAACGTCAGATAGTAATGGGTTTGTGTGGCTGAATCTTGGATGCTTCCAATCATGTCCACAGCAGATTGATCGTATACTTCTATGTCCACAGCGTCCGCTCGGCATGTTCTGGGCGTCAAGATACCCCGCCAAGCTTCCCCACCGGGTGCGGGTGTGACCCGCGGCCTTAAGTCATGACATTAGATCGCAGTTTGATTTTGGCTGCTCCATCTGCCGACTCGAAGATACGTGAAAAATTACCGCTGTTTCCAACACACTGGATCAAACGCGATACGACAGACACAACCTTTGCAATACCCTCAACATGACCTCCAACACCAACGATGTTATTATATCTCCTTTCGAGACCGAAAAGGATTTCAAGCAGGGACAATATTGCTTGTCTGAAGCTTTTGGGCGTCAGGCAAAAGATTCCGTCTGGATGCTGATGAACCCCGGGTGGGATACGGAAGAAGGACAAGCAAAACACGCCAAAAGATTAATGGAAAAATGGCAGTCCGTCACCACCAACAAGGATGGACAGCCAAATGCCATCTATCTAAAAGCTACCCTTCCCGACCCAGATCAGCCTGGAGAGAGACGAGTTGTTGGTATGGCTATCTGGAGGCAACTATCCTTCGTAGAAGGCTATGGCGATCCTTTCTCCGACGACATGAGTGCATCTCTTACCAACTTTGACGAAACGAAACGACGCTTTGCAACTCAAATGTTCCGCTCGCTTTGGAAGCGCCGCATTGCGTATATGCACGAAGTCAAGGAGTCGGGACGCAACCCGCCTGCCATTTTTACCTTGGATATATGCGCAGTCGATCCGGCCTATCAACGCCGCGGCATTGCAGCCAAGCTTGTTGAAGTCGGCCTTGCTGAAGCGAAGAAGAGGGGCGATCTGGAGTGTACGACCGAGGGCAGTGCTATGGGAAGAGTAGTGTATCAGAGACTAGGATTCAAGGACGAAGGGACTGGCGATATCCAATATGAGGTGGATGAAGAGTTCAAAGCATGGGATAAGCCAGCGAACCTCTTCTTGAGGACTCGCGCTTAATAGGACGAACGCATGCTGTTGAGGGCTGCTTTGAATGAAAGCCTGGAAACCCCTTTGTAGATACGTACACATTTCGGCTTATCATAACATCCCAAAATGACCAATTCTCCTGCGGCCATCTCCGTCAACAGCATAAAAAGTGACTCCATCGTTCCTTGCCTCTTGGGGAAGGTGGGATGGTCGGCGCTATGTAGTGGGGCAACAAAGCTACCCCGCCAGGGTCAATTGTCAAGCGCTAGTTATCTCGAATGCAAGATGATGAATTAGTCCAAAACTTCACATGTTCTTTTCTTCCTGCTCTACACGAAGAAACAATTGCTCACCCATCGCTCTCCCAACAATTGACGCGTATAAACGCGTTTCTGAGCGCCAACATGCCGATTGTCGACATCCACACCCATGTTTACCCTCCAAAGTACATGGAACTTTTGCGCTCGCGCTCTACCGTTCCATATGTTCGCACATTCCCAGACGCCCCGGACTCTGCCCGTCTGATCATCTTACCAGGCGAGGATGACCCCTCAATGCCGTCCACTTCACGCGGTCGCCCAATTGGCCAAGAATACTACGAGATCAAGGAGAAGATAGCGTTCATGGACCTCCACAAGATTGACAAATCAGTCATTTCGCTGGCAAACCCATGGCTGGACTTTTTACCTGCAGACGAGGCGGGAGAGGCGGCCAAGAAGATCAACGACGACGTCAACGACCAATGCGCGCAATATCCCGGACGACTGTACTTTTTCGGCACACTCCCTCTATCTGCATCGCCCGAGGCCATAACCGCCGAGATTGAGAGACTGAGTACTCTCAAGTACGCTCGGGGTGTTATCATGGGCACCTCGGGTTTGGGACAAGGACTAGACGATGCGAAGCTCGACCCTGTCTATGCAGCGCTCGAGAAGCACCAGCAGCTTATTTTCCTCCACCCCCACTACGGTCTTCCTGCCTCGGTCTATGGTCCCCGCGCGAGCGAATACGGCCATGTGCTGCCACTGGCACTTGGATTCCCCCTTGAAACCACCATTGCAGTTAGCAGGATGCTCTTGAGCGGAGTCTGGGACCGGTTCACAAAGCTCAGCGTATTGCTTGCCCATTCAGGAGGCACACTGCCGTTTTTGGCTGGAAGAATCGAGTCCTGCATTTTGCATGACGGACACTTGAAGAAGCATGGCAAGATCCAGAATAGGAGAGACGTGTGGGACATACTGAAGACAAACATCTACCTCGATGCAGTCATCTACTCGGAGGTGGGATTGAAGGCGGCACTAGATGCTTCGGGATCAGACAGGCTGCTGTTTGGTAAGTGAATATGCCATGATGTTGCATGGGTACGAGACTAATTGTGACTAGGTACTGATCACCCATTCTTCCCACCGCTTGAAGAAGACGCGAAGGAGTGGCACAGTGTCAATGCCAACTATGGCGCGATATCAAAAGCATTTTCAACAGATGATAAGAAAGCTCAGGATGTGTTGGGTGGCAACGCAGTCAGGATACTGCGGCTTGACTGATAATTTTACTCTATACGATGATATACAGTGGAATTCTCCACACAAGAGTTATGAGATACCTGGTCAACGAATGTATTCAACTATTGTAAACAAATCAAAGTATAGATTCTGATCAATATCCGGAGCCCATCTTATAATGGTCCCAACTATCTCGAATCTGGTTGACTACGTATACATTGCGATAGACAAGAAAGAGCCTATATCTATACTTCCACGGCCAACTCAATCACAACACATCCAACTACACTCACGCCGCCTTCCCTTCTGCAATCTCCACCAACTCCTCAAACAACATCTTCATCCAATTCTCCTCACTCTTGATCGTCGCACTAACAACCCGAATCACATACCTCCCCCCAATCACCGTACTCGTCAAGAAGAAATCCCCCTTACTATTCACCCTCTCATACACCTCCTTTGTCCGCTGATTCACCATCTCAGCATACTGCGCCTCAGCATCCCCCTGGAACGCATTCTGCAGCGCCCCATGCCTCGGATCCGGCTGATTCGCCGCACTCGCATCTTCACTCCCCGCCGTCGTCGGCTTGATCTGGAACGTCACCAGCCCAAACGCCGCCTCGGTCTCCACCCTGAAAAGATCCTTGCGTCCCTCGAGTAAACTCTGGAAATACACACCCAACTCAACATGCTTGCGGATGAACGCCCTCAGACCCGAGACCCCGTAGCTCCGGAGCACAAACCACACCTTCAAGCTACGAAACCGGCGACCGAGCGGAATCTGCCAGTCGCGATAATCGGTGACAAGACCCTGATCCGAGTGTGGATTCCGCAGGTAACTCGGGGTGATGGAGTACGTATCCATGAGATCCCCCCTCTTCTTAATAAAGAACGCAGAGCAGTCAAAGTTCACTAAGAGCCATTTGTGCAGATTGAAGTTGAACGAGTCAAACGATGCGATTGGGGGACAGAGATGTTGGTATTCAGGACAGACGAGCGCGGAACCGGCGTATGCGGCGTCGACGTGGATCCAGAGATCGGGGTACTCCTTTGCGAGCTGCGCAATGCCGGCGAGATCGTCAATGGCGCAGGTACCTGTGCTGCCGAGGGTGATGGTGAAGTAGAACGGCTCGAGACCTTTCGCGCGACAGGCTTCGATTGTGCTGCGGAGGGCGGCGGCCGTGACACTGTAATTTGATTCTTTTGGTGCGGGAACGGTGCGGAACCGGGTTCCTGCAATCACTGCTGCTTTTTGGGTTGAAGAATGCGCGTGTTCGGAGCCGAGGGCTACGAGTTTGCTGCGGATGTCTGCTGCAGCGTCGAGTCTTTCTTCGCCTTCGGGCATGTCGCCGAGTTTGCGGCGGATGATGCGTTCGCGGGCGGCGACGAGGGCGGTTAGAACGACTTCGCTGGCGGTGCCTTGGATGATGCCGCCGCCTTCGCCGTCGCTGAGGAAGTCGCTGGGTAGGGCGATGAGCTTAGCGACCCAGTCCATGACGACGGTTTCGAGCTCGGTGATGGCGGGTGAGCAGACCCAGTTGAAGGCTGCGGCGTTAAAGGCTCCGCTGTACATTTCACCCAGCATGCCTTCGAAGGAGGAGTTGCAGGGGAAGAAGGCCATGAACTTGGGGGACTGCCAGTGCGTGAGGCCGGGCATGATTACGCGGTCGATGTCTGCTTGGATGGCTTCCCATGGCTCGCCTTCTTCTGGGGTTGAGGATGGGAGGAGAGGGCGGAGATAGCCTGGCTTGACAGCGGGCAGAACTGGTCGTTCCTCTAATGTGTCATAGTATTGTGCAACTAATTGATGTCAAACAGGGCCATATATGAAGATTGATATGCGTACTTTCGTCAATGGCTCCTTTCGCCGCCTTTCGGAACTGTGAAGAATCCATCGTGGGGTAGACAGGATGTTGTAATAAGGTACGCCAGAAAGATCAGACAGCCAACGACAAAAACAGACACAACCACCGCTTCTTATATCTGTAAGTGTCTATCCAAAAGGGCTGGAACTATAGTGGATTCCGTCTAGCATGTGGATATCAGTCAATTAGTGATGTTAAGTACTCAAATGCCGATGTCGGTAATTCCGCGCTAATTACCACAAGAGGTTAAACCCTCGAAAGGCGGAATTGTAGCCACATGCGAGATGGGCGTAGGGCGTAAGACTAGGCTCTACATGTGAGTTCATGCTCTAGGCTCCAGTTCTTGTACCAATTGAATGACATGGCTGAAAGTGTCAGTTTGCATATTGAGAAAAAAACTCTCAAGATAACGGCAAGAGAGCGTGAAACACGTGGCTGCTATGCATGATTGTATGCTGATTTTCGCAAGTATCAAAAAAATGATATTTGGGTATACCTATGCGCCTTGCTGAAACTAACATTTTGCAACTCTTTCTACTGTTCTTCATCGTTACACCATTAATATCGTTTGCCAACCTCGACACCAAGGTTTTCATCCGGATTTGCAAAGCCACGCGCCCGAGGCGTAGACTTGCCGGTCACGTCTTGAGGAGCCTCGCCCTTGTAGTCCCATCCGCCGTCTTGGGTGAAGAAGTCGACTTCGTCAATGATATCCCAGACAATGTCTTCGGCAATCTGCTCCTTGTATCGTTCACCAATAGCACGGAGTCTGCGACCCTCTGGGACGCGTTGCTCGACAGTCTCTCCATTAGCCATCTGTGTATCTTGCTCTCGTTGCTTGATAATCTCCTCGGGTGGACACCAAAAGTCCGGCCCGAAGTTGACCTGAGCGACACCCCCATTGAACAGCGAAATAGCTGGGAAGTAGCCTACCATTCCGTCGTCAAAGCCTGGACGCGCACCAGCCTTGATTGCCTCGACCGATGGTATACTTGCTGGGGGAAGGAAGGCTAGAAGATTCTCAAATGCAATCCCCACTTCCTGCCCATTCTTGTAGACTTTGATGTGCGAATGTGGCAGCGATCGCACACTGACATCTTCATGGTTTGGCGAAGGGTGTATCTTGGGTACGGGACCGCGGTCATGATAGGCCTCAACCATTTTAGTGACTTGGTAGTCCAGTTGCTCGAAATAAAAGTTGCCTTTGTAGGGAACTGGAATGCGGTCACGAATGATATCAATAGGCCGGTCAAATGGGTCTTGATTGCTGACGGTATCGAAGCCGTCTCCTAGATCGACGGCCGGGTTATAGATGCCCTCAACAACTTTGCGGTGCATGGATATGGAGGGTAATTGGATCTCGAGGCCAATGACATCGCCCTCCTGAACATGCTGATCTACAACATACTCGACAGGCATAGGCTTGCCGTGGGGTGGTCTGGCCTTCATGTGCTTACTCTTGGCATTCTTTGGCAGCGGCTTGAAGATCTTGGAGGCGCGTGATCGGTGTTGGGCTTCGAAACGTGCGTCAGTGATACCATAGCTGTAGCCATCGAAACCAACAGGTGCATCTAGAGGCGCCTCTCTCCGTGCCCAACCCATGCGTACATGTGGGCCAGGTTTGGTCTCGCCGGTGTTTGGGTCAACGGGATCCTTGGGGCCATGCTCGGGTATGCCACGCAGAACCTTGACCTCGTAGTATATTCTGCCTTCTCTTGCGACCACATTGCCTCTACCCATACGCCAGCCCTTTTCCTGCGACACAATAGTGGCGCTGTTGTCGAAGTGGAACCAGCGGTCACAGTCCTCGTGGCTCATCCTCGGTCCGTATGGCCTAGAGTCGCTCTGGCGGTAGTACTGCTTGTGACGAAAGAGCGGATCGGCGACGCAATGCGTATACTTGTATCCCCTCTTGTTCCAGGCAATGTCGTGGGGCTTTTTGAGCTCCGTCACTCCGTCTGGTGCATACATGGGATTCGGTTCGTGGGAGAGCAGGGTGCTGTCCTTGGGGGCTTCATAGTCGGACGGCCTGGGCTCGGGAATCGAATACCTCATAGGCGAATCGGCTGTCGACCGCTCTTTCTTCGACTTTGTGCTAGTATTGGCATTTGGGGTGCTCTGACGCGCCGAAGCTGAAGCCTCACGCTTCTTGATCGTCTCCCGCTTCTCTCGCTGTTCGCGTGCCGGCGCCTTTGGTCTTGGACGCGCTGCAGTATCGGGGTTGGGGTTGAGGGGAGACGAGACGGCGGGCGCATTGTCTCCCTCAATCGGGCGCCGCATTGGGGGCACGATTGTGGGGGTGTTTGAGCGCGAGGGAGGGTATGAATCGGACATGGTGGAAACAATGTAGAGTCGCAATTGCGGTGTCGTCAATCTAAGTCGCGACCATGGGCGAGTGGAGACGTGCAGCTCCTACGGCGGGCCGTTTGTACGCAAAAGTCGAACCCCCACCAAATTTTTGGTTCCGCCGCCGCTGCAACTTTTCTAAATTTCTACAAGTCGACTCGCCAATAGCACGCCGAGTAATACTCGCAACTCTGCAAAGGCTTCAGTTCCTCTCACAACTCACTTCTTTGAAGAATCCCTAAAATCGGCACATCATGCCAAAAGCGCCCAAATCGCCTGGCGTGCGCGACCAGCGACACAACCCTCTAGCCGAAGAATATGCGCCCTCAGACCCGTGGAAAAACAAGGCGCAAAAGCGACAAAAGCGCAGCAAGGGCGACAAGAACGACGAAGAGGAGCAGAAATATGTAGACTCTAAGAGTTCGCGCAAAATCCTGGAGATTGGCCGAGAGCTGGAAGAGGAGGATGCACGAGAAACCAAGGCCAAGAGACCGCAAGAGGCCAACCCTGCCTTTGACTTTGAAACGCGCATGGGAGAAGACGACATGGTCGAGGAAGACGTATTACACGCAGAGGACGATGACGAAGCGTGGGGCGATGACGATGAGGAGGTCGAGGAGGTCGAGGAGGTCGAGATTGATGCGAACGACTTGGCGGCATGGAACAAGTTCATCCCAACCGACGACAACCCAATTGTATGGCCTGGCGAAGAGGCGCAACCTTCAGGGCCAGGCACAGATCTAGCTGCACTCATTCTCGAGAAGATTGCCGCACACGAGGCCGGAGGCGAAGTACAACACCCAGAAATTCAAGGCGGCGGTGCTCCAGAAGATGCAATTGAACTACCCGCCAAGGTTGTTGAAGGTACGATACACGATCTACACTTTGTACTACAATGCTAAGCATACACAGTATACTCCAAGATCGGTCTCATTCTGAGCCGGTACAAGAGCGGCAAGCTACCCAAGCCTTTCAAGATCCTCCCCACAATCCCCGCCTGGGAAACCCTCGTTGCCATCACCCGTCCCGACGACTGGACTCCCAACGCAACCTACGCAGCAACCCGCATCTTCATCTCCGCAAAGCCTCAAACCGCCCAAATCTTCCTCAATACCATCCTCCTCCCGCTCGTCCAACAAAACATCCGCGAAACCCACAAGCTAAACGTGCACCTGTACAACGCCCTGAAGAAAGCGCTCTACAAGCCCTCCGCCTTCTTCAAGGGCATCGTCTTCCCCATGCTCACAGACATTTCCTGCACGCAACGCGACGCCGTCATCGTCGCCTCCGTCGTCTCCAAAATCTCCGTCCCCGTCCTCCACTCCGCCGCCGCCCTGCACCGCCTGTGCGAAATCGCCGCCGAGCAAATGTCCTCGGACCCCGATGCTGCAGGCCCCTGCAACATCTTCATCAAGACGCTGCTCGAAAAGAAATACGCTCTACCTTACAAAGTCATCGACGCCCTCGTCTTCCACTTCCTGCGCTTCCGCGGTGTAGGCGCTAGCAGCGCCGATGCCATGGATACGGAATCCGTAGCTGGCGACTTGGGGAATACGGGAAAGTTGCCGGTGATTTGGCATCAGTGTTTACTGGCGTTTGCGCAAAGGTATAGGAACGATATCACGGAGGACCAGAGGGAGGCGCTGCTGGACTTGCTACTTACGAGGGGTCATAGGAGTATTAGTGCGGAGGTACGGAGGGAGTTGCTGCAGGGGAGGGGGAGGGGCGTTATGATTGAGCAGCCGAGTGTCGGGGTTGATGGGGATGATACTATGATGGGAGTTGATGCGTAAGATATCTTGCATCTACTCTGTTGTTGTTTTTTTGAGGGGTTTGTAACCACGATTTTCATGAGCATTTTACGGCGTTTTATGGGGGTTCAAGGAAAAGAGCTTTTACGGAAGCTTGATATGTTTTTATCTCCCCTTTTCCCTGGGGAAGAAGGGCTTTTATGAACAATGGATATTTCTTCTTATATTCGTATTTCCCTTATTCTGTCTTGATATCCGCCATGCGCTTGTAAAAAGCGACATATCCCTTGATCTTGTTCATGCTCTCGAGCGGCTCTGGGTAGTACCATGCTGCATCCTTGACCTCGGTCTTGTTGGTCGTGATGGTGTAGTAGCTTGCTTCTCCCTTGTAAGGGCAGTGCGTTTTTGTGCTTGTAGGGGTGAAGTGGGATTCTTTTATGGCGCTTGGTGGGAACTGTTTGCGGGTGATTTGTTAGTTTCGGTCGACGAAGCAGGAGGAAAGACTAGTGGTGAGAAAGAAGAGAGAGAGAGAGAGACGGACATAGATGTTTCCGTCAACGACTTCATACGAGTCTGTTTCGGCGACGAGAACGCCGTTTACGGTTGCTGTTGCGTGAGGCATGGTGAGGGATTTGGGCTTGAGATTTAAGAAGAGATGATGATGTGAAATATTTCAAAGTAAGACGTGAATTTATATGCTACTGGGACCTATTGCTTTTGCTCGACATCTGCAGCGTCCGTTACAGGTGTTGTATTATGAATCTGGGGCCTAAACCATATCGAGTAGTCTGCGAGCGGGGGTAGAGGGATGGTAATCGTCATCATTTCCAGCATCCTTGTTTGGCATCTCCCAGCTTATAGCTACATACATGTGCATACATGCTAGTTTGTTGAGACGTGATTCAAGGTAGAATCCATCAAGTACGTTTACCATGGTACATGCACATGTATTGCTTGTGCTAGTCAGTAGTGCCAAGAGCGATGCACTTGTGCTTAAGTACCGCGTCTTGAACGCGTTGCAAATGTACCACCGGTAAATTTATTGAATGGAATCACATTGAAAAGTAATGGCAGACCCCACTGGTGGCCAGGGGACAATGGCCGTAGTCCACAAAATTCTTGCTTCGTTTTGGCCCACCCGACGGAATACAGGGCGTTGAGGCTGACAGACAGCGCAGCCGCCGAGGACACAGTCCAACCCTACCCTTCCCGGTGGGAAATGCTGTTCGGCAATCTGCCACCGGGCCAGCGGAGTTGCACAACATGGCGCGCTGAACAAAACATGCGAAAAGGAAATGCTGGGTGGCTTTTCGCCATGGAAGATTTCGGGTTGATCAAAGTTGCCTTTGGGGCGTGTAGGAGGGGAGAGGGGAGAGGCAGAGGGCCGACGGCGGGACGCAAGCGAGACCGGATCCGCAGGCTTGATTCGACTGCAAAGAACGCGGGAGTAGGGATGGGACGTGATGGGATGAGGGACGAAAATAATCCCCAGGGCCTAGAAGCAGCAATTGTTTGCGCGGGAGGGTGGGCGTGTGAATGCGTGGGCGCGGGCAGCAAATGATGTGATTGGGACAACAGGCTTATCTTTTGGCGCACAAGCAAAGGGCCAGTGCGAGGCGACTCGGGACGCCGGTCGTTCGTCATCGCTAAGAAAAAGTTGACTCCCAGGGCACCACAAGTCATTATCATCAGCGCCTTGCCCGCCCCCCTCGCCCTCCGCTGCCCTTTCTCCATCCCTTATCCTCTTCCTATCCTGCAATTGACTCTGTGGCCTCTTGCCACGGTCTCTCTGCTCTTCCCAATGGCACCCGCAATGAGGCCCCTGGCCGCTGCCAATGTGTTGTCGCAGGTCCAGCAAGCCGGACGCAGGACCTTCACCACCAACCGCCCGTCACTCATCGCCAGCAGAGCGCGATGGACTCCCCGCCCTACGCAGAACCAGATTGTCCTGCGCCAGTCTGTCCGCCAGCAGTCAACTGGAAGCGCCCCCAAGCCCAAGCGGTTCCGCCTTCTGCGCTGGTCGTATCGCCTCACCCAGCTCTCCATCCTTGCCGGCCTGGGATACATCGGATACGGCATTTACGAGACTCGCAACCCCGCTGACCAGCCGCCGCCCGACCCCAACAAGAAGACTCTTGTCGTCCTTGGTGAGTAACCTGCCAGTGCAATACTACTCGTGCAGCGAGCACCTGACTGACCATGCGGAACAGGTACCGGCTGGGGTTCCGTCTCCCTGCTCAAGAAACTCGACACGGAAAACTACAATGTCGTCGTCGTCTCGCCCCGAAACTACTTCCTCTTCACCCCGCTCCTCCCTTCCTGCACCGTCGGCACCATTGAGCACCGCTCCATCATGGAGCCCATCCGCAACTTCCTGCGCCACAAGAAGGCCCAGGTCAAGTACTATGAGGCAGAAGCCACCAAGATTGACTACGAGAAGAAGGTTGTCTACATCAGCGACGACTCGGACATCAAGGGTGATGTCTCTAAGACCGAGGTTCCCTTTGACATGCTAGTTGTTGGTGTTGGTGCTGAAAACGCCACTTTTGGTACGTTGATTGCTGTGTCAAGTGTGACTGTTGGCTAATAATTGACCTAGGTATCCCCGGTGTCAAGGAGCACGGTCTGTTCTTGAAGGAGGTTGGCGATGCTCAGCGCATCCGAAACCGTATCATGGATTGCTGCGAGACGGCTACGTTCAAGGATCAATCTGAAGAGGAGAAGAAGCGTCTGCTTCACATGGTCGTTGTCGGTGGCGGTCCTACCGGTGTCGAGTTTGCCGGAGAACTCCAGGACTTCTTCCACTCGGATCTGAAGAAGTGGCTGCCTGAAATCCAGGACAACTTCAAGGTCACCCTCGTCGAGGCACTTCCCAACGTCCTTCCCATGTTCTCCAAGCAACTCATCGACTACACGGAGAAGACATTCAAGGAGGAGACCATCGATATCCGCACAAAGACCATGGTCAAGAACGTAACAGACAAGTACATTGAGGCTGAGTCTTCTGGTCCTGATGGCAAGAAGCAGCTTGAGAGGATTCCCTACGGTCTCCTTGTCTGGGCCACTGGTAACGCTCTCCGCCCCATTGTCAAGGACTTGATCAACCAGATCCCCGCTCAAAAAGACTCGCGCCGTGGTCTTGCCGTCAATGAGTATCTTGTTGTCAAGGGTACTGAGAACGTCTGGGCCGTCGGTGACTGCGCTGTCGCCAACTACGCCCCTACTGCTCAGGTTGCCGCCCAAGAGGGTGCTTTCCTTGCCCGCATGTTCAACAACATGGCCAAGACTGCTGAAATTGAGGGTCAGCTTGCCGAGCTCTCGATTGCCCAAGAAAAGGCTCCTGGCAAGGAGGCCCGTGACAAGGTCTTTGGTGAGATCAAGGCTCTGCAACAAAGACTGAGGAGAATCAAGTCGATTGGTCCATTTGAGTACTCTCACCAGGGTTCGCTGGCCTACATCGGCTCCGAGAAGGCTGTCGCTGATATCTCATGGTTCGCGGGCAACATTGCATCCGGTGGTACAATTACCTATATTTTCTGGCGCTCTGCCTACCTTAGCATGTGCTTCAGCACCCGCAACAGGATATTGGTCATGCTTGACTGGGCCAAGGCTAAGATCTTTGGCCGTGACGTCTCGCGTGTCTAGAGCTGCTGAGCGGTCTTAACGTCGATACGTTGTTGTTTCTCTCTTTCTTTCTTCTCGCATAAAAAAAGGCAGGATTGCCATGCTGTATAGACACATTCACACATACACACACATATCCCCCTCCCGGTTTTCTCTGTACGATTACAAACTAGTCATGTCTTTGTATAAGGGTGTGATACCTAGGTAGTAGTGGCGGGCTTTCCGGGGTGTCCTCTGGGTTTCTGGCTGCTTAGACAAATTACCGTTTTTCTTCTCCTTCATCTTTCATGTTTTGATTGATCTCGGCGTTTTCCCTTTCCTTTTCTCTTCTTGACTCTATGCTGTCTGAGATTCTTTCTTTCTTTTAGTTGGCATCTCTGTAGTTGTAGTCTTAGATATCGTTGTTAGCTGAATGATAGAGTATCCTTTTCTTTCCAACATTGGAGTTGCTGGTTAGAAGTGATAATGAAGGCACAATTTGATAAAAATGCATAATGAAGATGCTATTTTTCTATCGATATACCAGAATATCATGCCAAGTCATTTCCCGTGTAGATGGTAACCCCATCCAAAAAAAAACGCCTACAAATAGATGAATGCATGTATGCAAGATAACAATATGCCTATGAAGATGTAAGAAAACCCCGCAAGTCCAGCATTATCCATGATGCTCGACATGGAAAAAAAGACACAAAAGCTGAGTAGTGCTCCACCACACCGACAAATGTACTCATCTACCTGGGACTCCCCACAGCCCCATAACTCCTGGGACTAGCATGCCTACCGGTCCCCAACAACGCCCTCGCCTCATCCAACGCACTCCCTTGCCTCTTAATCGGAATGCTCTGACTCCCACTGCTCTGGCTACTCCCCACACTGCCCGCGGGACTCGCATCGCGCGGCGAATCCATTGGCGTAACCGCACGACTCACATTCGGGGTCGCAGCCACACTAACAGCAGGTGCCCATCCCCTCATCCACCCACTAACGCGTCTCCAGTGTAGACTCTTACGGATAAGCTTCCCATTCTCATCGACGGTGATGACGACCTCGTCGTCGCGCGGGAGTTGGGAGCGACCCCGTGGCGCGACTGCGTCGTCGAAGAAATAGAACTGGAGACCTACGGCTGCGTCCATGAGGAGCACACCCGCAGCACCGAGGAAGAAGGGGGAGGCGCGGAGGATCCAACTCTCACGATTGCTGCCGGAGGGATCGACCCAGCCGCGGCCTTCGCCGGGGGCGAAGTCACGCCAGGCGCAGGGGTTTGTGGCGAGGGAGGAGGAGTAGAAGAGATTGCCGAAGAAGGCGGCGGCGAAGAGGGCGGGGGAGAGGCCCGCGGTGGATTTGCGGATTTGGTTCATGTAGAGTTGGGGGAGTCGGGAGCCTAGGTAGAGGAAGGTACTCATCCAGGAGAAGATTTTGCCAGCTAAAGCGGCGCTGTCGGTGGATGTCATTGTGGTGATTGTGGTGGTGGTTGTGTGGGAGATACTACGGGTGCGGGCGAGGCCGGGAGCGAAAGGGGAGATTGGCTTTGCGAGTGTGGGATTTGTGAGGACGGCGATGAGGAGGGTTATGTAGATGATTGTTTTGGGGGAGGGCATGGGTGGGCTTGAGGCTGCTACGCGGCGGATGTGTGGGTTTGGAGATGCGCTGGAGGGAGGAGTGCCTTGCCATGATTCTTTGGCTGGGTTTGGGGACCGCGCAAAGTTGGGGATCCTGAAGACGTCCTTTTGGCCTGAATGCGGTACGTCTTGCGGCGTGCTCCCCTTGGTATTGTCCTTTTTATCCACCGTATTCGCTGGCTTGCCTATGCCCATGCCTTCCAGAACTTGGTGCATGGAACCACCTGCTCCTGGATTGCTACTTGGAGAACTGCTCCATCGGCCCCAGATGGGGCGTAGGGGTCGTCCGTGGTGTAGCATCTCATACCACACCCACTGCCCGCATAGGCAGCAGTCTACGAAAACATAGTATGCCGCAATAATGATCTGCCACGATGCCTGCCCTGTAAACAGGCACCCCAGCAGATTTGTCAAATCACCCAGGAGCCATTCCGTCAGGAAAAAGGCACTCAACCCCGAAGTTGACTTGAGCTTGTGGTTTTTATATATCTGCGGTAATTGTGCGAATAGCCACGATACGATACTGCATGTGCCAAGGAGCGTCGATATAAGGGCGAGATTCGTAGGTATGCATGTATGGAATGTGGCTGAGAGGTGGTACAGGAACGCGTTGGTCGGTTCGCAGCTCGGCGGTAACGAAGGCCTCGCTATATGCAAGGGGGATAGGTAGGGTGGCATGGCGCCATAGAAGTATGATGAAACTCGACGAAGGGCGCGGTGCAGAGTTCTTGGGCTGTAGGTCCTGTATCTAGGATTTGGGACGCGTTTCCCGGCCTGTTCTTCCTCTTGTACTTGCTTCTTCCTCTTCGCGCTCTTGTTCGCGCCTCGGCAGCGGGGGCGGAATGGTCAGAGGCTGGATTCAGCGCGCGGATGCAACGAGCGACGAATAATCACAAAGGCCTAGGAGAATCTGCAACTCTAAACTCTCGCGACTCGCCTAATGGAGTCGTCCGTTGCAAGTCGGCGTTCCAGCGGTCGGCGCGGTGACGTCGTTGGATCCGATGGGGTGCTGATAAGACGCGAGACGTGGTTTACGGTAGCAAAACGAAGCACAGCAATTGTTGCAAAACTTGGAAAGGAATAGAAAGCACGAGGACAGAAAGATAAGAAAGGTCAACGTCAAGGACAAGGGGAGGCTGTAACAGTCATCCGTGGCCCACTCGGGCTCATAGAGAGCCCTTTGCCTCCAACTGCGCATCCCCGGCGGGCTCGCATGACTGACGCCGGGGGTAAGAATAGGACAAGCGTCGTAGGCTACGGCTAGGCCAGGCGGAAGGGATACGACGGGAGGCCGCAGGAGAGTGTGACTTGAACGGGTTGCAGTGTCATGAGTGAAAGATAAGCCTTATCTCCACCCACCTCGGGGTCGTGGAGGCGGCCGGGGGTGGGCACGCGATCTCAGCTCGCTTGGGCTTGCCTGTTGCCGCCTGCCGCCGCTCGCGGCATCTTGGCTATGGATCTGATCCCCAGCCTCGCGACATGCTGAACAGTGAATGGCTCCAACTCCGCGACTCTGAGCTGGATCGTCGCACTCCACAGAGATATCAACGACGATCGTCGGGGTCCATGGCTGCAATAGCGCGTAGGTGGGCTGCGGCTTCTCCGCCATCGGCCCCATGGCGCACCCGTCTACTAATAAACACCACTAAGATCCCCCCTCCGAAACGTAACAAGAATGCCACCCTCAGCCCAATACGGGAAGTCATGTCGCCATGGATTGGGGGACATGTGGCATCAGGAAGCCTGCGATGAATCTTAACACGCGACAGCAACACGTTCTGGCATTTGCTCATAGTATTACAGGAATTAATCTACACATGACATGTCCTAGTATCGGATCGGATCGAATCGTCAAGTACTGCATCTCCCCTCCATCCGCGTGACCCTCCCATGTCTAGGCATCATCACCGCCGTTTCCGATCTTCGAGTATCCGCCTTGCGTCTGACCCTTCCATCGAGGACTGCACTCGGTCAGCATGACCCTCCATGCGATGTGTCCAAATCAACATCAGTATACTTACTAAAAGAAGTTCCTGAAGCCCACGATACCCGCTGTCATGGCTGCGTATCCGCCCAGCAACCTCGACCAGCTGCCTTCTTGTCCTACAGACAGTGCAACGAGATCGTATACCAGACATCCGCCAAAAATCCAGTCGCTCACGCTTGCTGCAGCAGCGAAACCAATGCCCGTCGCGACCTGCACCAGGGAGCTGGGCTCGACACCAACATAGTATGCGGCTGATGTGTTGTGCAAGAGGTCTAGCACGCCAATACCAGCAAACGTCTTCGCAACAATGTGCGTGAGAAAGTTGGGCGTTGACCGTGTATCCAGCGGCTCTAGCATCGTCGAGATGTACGTCACCTGCGCCAACGTATTGATAATCACAAAGATATTCGAAGTCGCCAAGTCGTTTGCATTCCAGAAGAACATCCAAGCTATCCAACCGTGTTAGCAAAAAAATCTCCATCTTTCATAATCCCCTCTGTCGGCTCAAAAGGGTAAAACACTTACTTCCGATACAAAAGTTCCCCAAACTATAACACCACGCAAACTTATTCATCATCGCCCGCTCCTGCTCATTCCCATCCTGCTTCCACAGCTTCCACAACCACACTAGCTGGAAGATTTGCTGCGGGAAAAAGAAGGCCCCGATGAAATACGGATATGGTGAGAAAGCCGCCAGATTCCGGTTGTGAATATCCATCATATTGGGCGTGGAGAAAATCCCATATTGCTGCGCTGCAAAGTCGTAGATGAAAGATGCGGGCGCCAGATAGCGCACCGTTGATTGTGTGTTGCCCATGCTCATGGATGTAGTACTTGAAGATTCCGTGTTTGGTGTCGTGTCACGTGGTCCAACCTTATAAGTATATATGTATGTTATTCCGCGGAATCGCTATGTTTTGTTTCGGTTGGTAAATGCGATGCAAGAAACACCGCATTGCAGATGACGGAAACACAGTAGATAGATATTCTATGCGGAATTGCGTTCAAAGCCGGCCGTATCGAAGACGTCATTTTCTCACCTCTCGCTGCGATCTCAGGGTCCAGCACCCGATGCCGCGCCAATGTCTTCGCGGTCATCGTAAATCGTGAGCGGAGACCGGGGGGTTTCGTAGCAAGAGAGCGGCCGCCCGAACTACCCGTTGGTTGCTTTATGGTTTCGGGGCTCGGGGCGCTGGGAGTGCGAGGGCCCGGGGGATCGGGTTGCTGGGGTGGGAATGTTGGGAGTGTATGGCACTATGTACCGATGAAGTGAACCAAACTCCGATTTAACGGGTATGCAGCTTCGGCTGCATATATTTATTGGGATGATAAGCGTTTGGGACGAGAAATGGTGCGAGTTGATTTGTTTTTAAGAATGTTTGGTCTAGCTATCCAGTTCACATACATGAAGGTGGTGGTGGTTCTGTCTTTGGTTAGCGCCGTTATGCGACAGCCACTACATATCAGATAGAGCGACTAGTAGTCATAGTAGCGGGCAGCTGAGGGTGTGTGTGCTATCAGTATCTTACATGAATCCATGCTCGTCATGCCGTGCCACCTACTCTACATTCAGCGTACTGGTTAGAAATCCATCATCGGATTCCATTCACGCTCACACGAACGCATATGTAATCCCGCAGTCCATAGTCATCTCTCAATCATCCCACAGACATCCATTTACGCCTGAAAACACTACAGAATACCCAAGGATACTGTCAATGCCCCATATATGCCTCAAGCCATATCAATCCGCATACCCCTACTCCGGCATGTCATCCGCCTTCTCGCGAATCACAAGATTAGACTCAAGTCTCTCAAGGAAAGTCTCGGAGACCTCTCGATCAACACTACCCTTGTCCGTGTGCTTGCGCAGTTTAGGCTTCATGTCTCCCCTTTCTTTCTTGACTTTACCTCCCTGAACGCCGTTGCCTCCCTGCACACCCTGACCAGCGTGGTTAGCCCGTTCTTTCTGGCACTGCGCCATGAATCTTCTGTACTGACGTACCTGCTCCTCGGTGCGTCTTTCAAATGCTCTCTCGCGTAAGCTTTTGTACATGCACAAGACCTGCGCTCTCTCCTTTTGTACTATGCGCAGTTTTGCGGTTAGGGCAGCTCGTTCTTCGTTCTTAGTGCGGAGTTGCTGTTCGTAGTCGATGGTTTGTGGACTAGGTATGGTGAGAAGGTATGCTAGGTGCTTTGTTTGGGAGATACTTACCTGAAGATTCTGGACCGATCTGGCTTTGCTAGGGGAGGGTTTGAAGGATCGGGGAGGGACTGAGGAGGGAAGTCTGAGCTGATTATGGTTAGGAGATGTACTGAGTGGCCGTTTTGGGGTGCTTACTTGAGGTGTTCAGCCTGCTTCGGTGTTTTTAGGTAGTTCGGATCATGATGGTGGGCAGGTCGGTAATTCGCGTTATTAGGGTTTGTCACTGCGCTCGCATGCTCTTCAGCACCCCCGGTGTTGGCTTTGGGTGGCAACAGAGCCTCAGTATGCCTCTTGACCATATGGAGCAGGATGTCTCTGTATTTCTCGTTTTCCTCAATCTTTTCTTGGAGTATTTCATTCTCGTCTTTGAATAGAAAAGGCTTCACTCCCGTTTTGTCCTGCGTAGTAGCCAGGGCGTTGCGCTCGGCGCGCTCTGCATCCCTGACTGCTGCCTCGCATTTGAACATGGTGGCCATGATCTTGTAGAATGAGGTGACAAAGGAAAGATTGTAATAGTACTTTGAAGAGAGTTGGTATCGAATAGGTGCTCAATCAAGTGAGGACGTCTGGAATTATAGCAGCCAGTGATCATTGACTCGGTAAATTGCTATTGTGGCCGGGTAAGAGTGATTCAACACGGGACGCTCGTACAAATGGAAGTGGCGCAAGTTTGTTTGTCACCTTTACCTTCACCTTCACTATGGTACATGGGTTAGACCTTGGCGCATAGACATGCTACGCACGTCACTTGCATGCAGCATACCTGCAAGTTTCTGCATAATGTCCTATCTCCATTCTCTCCCTCTCTCTCTCTGCCCTTCTTTCTCGAGAGGCGTAACCTCATTCTAAAGTCAGCTGTGCTATGGGATATGCGCCGAGTTATTCGATTCCATGTGCTGAACATGATTATCACTCAATCGATCCACAAATAGTCAGTGTTAGAGCATTGGAACAGTCTTCTTGACCAGTCTGGCGCGCTCTTGATCTTGAAGCTTTATCTAGAAGGGTGTGTGTTAGATGAGCTTAACTGCTTACCTTTTCCGGCACTGTTGTTTGCACTGTATTTAGGACTGGAAAGTCAGTTGATATCAGTCAATCCTACACTCGCTCGCTGCCCCTTTTCTTCATTTATGGTTGTTGCCTTGTGCATGGTTTCGATGAAGAAATCGAATATATATTGATTAGCTTTCACAATAGACGAGGCAGGGAACTAATGCAATACGGAGTATAACATATGTAGAAAACGGAAACCAGAGAAAGGGTATCACGTAAACAAGCAAAGGGTGATAGAAGGTCGACAATCTGACTATTCTCACAATCTCCTATAGTAGCTATTAGTATTGCGTCTATAACAGCGATGCTACTGGCTGGGAGTGGCGGGTGTTGTATTTATCTTATGAAACGACTCTTGGACTCGTTTTACAAATTCAATTTAGGGCACGCTATTATTCCGAGTTGTTTACGAAATGTGATATGGTAAGCTCGAAGCGGACTAAGAATAAGGATTCTTGTCTTTATAGCATGGCTTGAGGTTGTGAGAATACGCTAAGGCAGCCAAATTGGATTCCTGCTGATCATCACTCTGATTTCAAACACCTGATGACGGAATCTGTGAAAACTGAACTTACGATACATGAAGATGTAACGTTGAGCGCCTTGTCGTCGTCCCACTAACCCCACCATTAGCCTTATCGCCTATCGTCTGCACCTTCCTTGTGTGGCAACAACCCCACCTACAACACCTGAGCATTTCACGATGCGCATGACACAGCGGAAACCGCCGCTTCATAGATAATTTCATCTCACAAATCCTCCAAAACGCGGGTCTAGCTATATACCGGTGGTGCTGCTGCAGGCTCACATACACCCAAGCAAGCCGCCTAGTAGACAGAACATACCAAGCGACCGCAATGGCGAGCATTACTGTTGACTCTGCAGTCTCGCAGGATGACTTGGAAATTCCAGTATTTATTTTTTGCACAAGACTAACTGCTTCCTTCGTCTAACATCATACAGCTCATCGACTTTTCCGCATTCCTCTCTGGCGACGCCAATGCCAAGAAGCAGACTGCCGACGCTGTTCTGAAAGGCTTCCAGAACGCCGGCTTCATCTATCTCAAGAACCATGGCATACCCCAATCGACAGTTTCAACAGTCTTCTCACACTCGGCCAAATTCTTCGCCAGGCCGAAAGAACAGAAAGATGCCTTAGCATGGTATTCGGCGGCCGCCAACCGCGGCTACGTAACACAGGGGCGCGAAAAGCTCGTTGTTCTCGAAGAGACGGGGACCGAAGCGCAGATGCGTGCCCTGGTGCCAGATTTGAAAGAGAGTATGGAAATCGGGCGCGACGATCAGCCAGAGACTCCCAACATGTGGCCGAGCGGGGATGAGGAAGCAAAGGAATTCAAAGAACAGATGATGGGTTTCTTTGAGACTTGCAAAAACTTGCACAGGGATGTCATGCGTGCAATTGCGCTGGGTATTGGTATCGACGAGAAGTGGTTCGACGGCTTCACAGATGCCGGAGACAACACGTTGAGATTACTTCATTACCCGGGCGTGTCCAAGAGTGTCTTCAAAAGGAATGACGGCCAATTGCAGGTTCGCGCAGGCGAGCACAGCGACTATGGTCTGAAACCCTATCTGAAAACTCATCAGAACAGTTGCTGACAGAAGCACAGGCTCGGTAACCCTTCTTTTCCAAGATTCTCGGGGTGGACTCCAGGTCCGCTCACCAAAGGGTACCTTTGTCAATGCGACACCCATCGAAGGAACCATCGTAGTCAATGCCGGTGACCTACTCGCCCGCTGGTCCAATGATACCATCAAGTCAACCAAGCACCGCGTTGTAGAGCCGCCACCAAAGCCAGAGGATGCCGACAAGGACGAGTATCCACCACGATACTCGATAGCTTACTTCTGTAATCCAAATTACGACCGTAAGATTGAGGCCATTCCTGGAACATATGAGAAGGATGGAAGAAAATATGGGGATGTCCTGAGTGGAGATTACTTGGTTCAACGACTGACTGCGACGTACTGAGGTGAAAATCTAATTTTGGACTCATTGTAGATTGATTAGTCGCATCTTGCTTGAACTACAAATGAAGAAACAATGTTAAGTCACCGCTTTGTCCCACTTGCACGGTGGAGAGAACAGGAATTATTCGGTTTCATGCTCTATTTCTTTAAATTTTCAAGAAATCTCTTATTATCCCCTTCGTACGTCTAACATGTTCGATAGTTAAGAAAAAGCATTCCAAAGTATTCTCATAAGCAACACACTCCCCGAAGTCGACTTTGTATACTACCTTCAAAGGACAATGAGCGCCAGTATCGCGCCAACTACCGTAACCAAAACCCCTCCACTAAACGCAGCCTGTCGCTCCGCACCGCCTGTAAACGGCGGCCCTACCTGACTTCCATTACCCTGCTGAGCCACACCGTTCCCAACCCCAGCCTCCAACACTAACCTATCAACACCTCCCTGTACACTCTCCAACGGCGCCACAAGCGCCATCTGACTCCAGCTAAACAGCGTATTCCGCCCACCAAATACAAACACCTCAAAGCGACCCGCAAACGAATCGTTAATCCATACGCGACTGCCATTCACAACATCAGTTTCAATCCGCAACTTTGCAGGCAGCGTAATGGGAACAGGCTCGTGTGTCGACGTCGACTGGTTCGTCCATATGCGGCCTGGATGTCCGGGTTCATGGCCATCGCTGAGAGATACGCGACGCAAAGGGTATGGGAAGCCGTCCGATGTCGTGAAGACGAGCGTGGTGATGTTGTCGGCGATATTGATGGAGAGTGAGGTATCGGGTCCAGACAGGGCAAAGGGCGACGAGGCATCGAGTGTGAGTGTATATGGCGGGCCGTAAGAGCCTAGTCCCAAGGAAGAGTTTGTGGGCTGAGATGGCTTTTGTGTCCAGGATACTAGGAGTGAGGGACTTTGGGCAGAGAGGGTTTGTGAGCCTGGGAGTCGGCGGTCGAGGTTTTGTCCTGGAGCTGAAGGTGCCTATGGAGTTTTGAATGTTAGCATACACATTTGCAAATACGTTTTTGCTCATACTTACTAGAAAGGTTAAGCTGTCTGATATCTCTGCTACGTTGATCTTTGCACCGCGATTGCCTGCCCAAGCGCGTGCTGCTACAACTGGGATACCCTCCCGCATTGCGTAGTAAGCCTCCAGCTGCGTCGTTGCATCCGGACCATTATCGTTCCAAGCTGCTAGAATAGCGCCCTTGTTGCCTTGAGCACCGGGCTGCAGCTGTTCCGTCTTGTTGAAAGGATTGTATAGTGACGGCTCCCACTGCAATCCTGGCACATCTGCAAAGTTGAGCGTGCGCGTGACGTTGTAGAATTGAGGGTATGGGGCTGGCAGAATGGGCATATGATCGTTCTTGAGACTCATGTAAGCCCACCAATCTTCAGAATTGACGATTTGATAGCCATCTGTTTGCAGCAAGACTGGATCTGACTGACCGTATTGCCAGTGCTGTATGATGACGTCTTTTGAAATGGTTAAGTTTTCTGATGGCTCATGTGTGCCCCAAATGCGGATTTCCTTGCCGGAACTATTCTTGACGAAATCGGCCATTTCGTTGACAAAATTGATGTAGTCATCAGCTAAATCTGCGTCATACTCATCCGCGCCAATGTGTACTTCTTTTGTTTGAAACCATGGTAAGAACTCTGACCAGATGGCCTTTACAGTAGGAATTGCATCTGGGTGGCTTAGATTCAGCAGATCTTTCTTACTCAAAGCGAGCTCAGGTTTCCACTTGGTGATCGCGAGTGCATGTCCTGGAGCCTCAATTTCAGGAACAACGGTGACACCTCGCTGTGCGCAATGGCTTTGGAACTCCTCAAAATCGGCGCGCGACAATGTTTCGTTGGGACGTTGAATCAGTCCTCTGAGTTCTGTATTCTCCTCCGGGTATAGCGAAAAGTGCGAAAACACATCTTGCCAGGTCTCGTTACGGCCACGGTTCAAAGGATAGTTATCACTCGAGTGGTAGTGGAACTCCGAGATCTTGAAGAACGACGCATATGAACAGAGTTCTTTAAGAAAATGCTTGTTGTACCACTTCCGGCCTGCATCTAGCATAAATCCACGAGTGGCATATGCAGGCGCGTCAGTAACGTTTCCGGATGGTAAAGATCCATTTCCGATCAGCAGTTCCTGCAGTACAGTCCGAGTACCCCAAAACATGCCTTGTGCACCAGTTCCGCCAATGTAAATGCTGCCATTGGTAACATCGAGCTCATATCCTTCTTCTGTCGCGATGCCGTTCTCATAGGTTAGTTGGTCAGCATTGCCGCGAAATGGACCGAGGAGAATGCCAGTTGTGGGAAGCTCATCAACGCGTTCCAAGGTCCATTGACTACCAAACAACGACGATAAATCTGCGCGGAATGTTTCCGCGAATTCTTCAGCACTCGGAGGTATCAACGTAAGGCCATTAGGGTCTCTCTTATCAGCAAAAGTGTTTTGGATGTATATTTTTGTTCCTTGTTTGGTGACAGAGAAGCCGAGGTCGTTGTTGCCCTTATCTGCTAGTGAAACTGGTGGCAAGGGCTGTATCGCAACAGCCAATTGAGGTAGTAGGAGCAACGACGCGATGAAAACCATTATTGACGCGAAATCATTGAAGTCATAGTGAGCGCGGTGACCAAGGTAAACTATTCTATTGTTTTGAGTAGCCAAGGTATCTTGGCAGATGCTGTCCAGTCGCTTTGCCCCGCAATCTGCAAAGCCGATGTAACCTTAGAGCGGCTGGCCGTTGGAGGTCATGATAGCAAGGGAAGGGGTATGGCAAAAGGGGTATGGTCATGCACGGCTCAGCGAGAACGAGAAACGGAATGAACGGTGTGGAGGTGGAGAGGTGCTACTTCGGCCCCGGCAAGTCTCGTACAGGGCTTATTCTTGCCCACCTGAACCGTCTTCACAGAGCAGTGCATGGCTTGTGCGCGATCGTTGCGACGTGGGCATAACGAACAAAGAACAAAAAAACCTGGAAGAAGGAAACGTATTAGGTCTGCAGATACCAAGAAGAAAGACGTAGGCTGACTAGGAACTAGGAGCACTGAAGCTAGACGAGCGAAGCTTAGCGCGTCGGAGAAAATCTGTACCTGACCGATAAAGTCTAGAAGAACAACATCTCCAATCACACGACGAGGACGTGATCGTCATGTATCAATGACAGCGGCATTGCAAGGTATTTCAATTCACGAAAATCCTTGAAATGGACCGTCACCAGCGTGTTGTCGCGCAAGTCGCGTCAAAAGTCAAGGACTACTTTGCACGAAAAGAGCCATTCCGAATCTCACATGGCTCAACAAATAGCACGCGGCCAAACCTCAAGAAGCATGTCGTTGACATAAGTGCTTTGAAAAATGTCATCAAAGTCGATACACAAAGCAAGAGAGCGCTTGTTGAGCCCAATGTCCCCATGGATCGACTCGTGGAAGCAACTCTGCCACATGGCCTGGTACCGCCTGTTGTTATGGAGTTCCCCGGCATCACTGTAGGAGGAGGTTATGCAGGAACAGCAGGAGAGAGCAGTAGCTTCAAGTTTGGCTTTTTTGACCGGACAATCAATGAAGTGGAAATGGTAATGGCCGATGGCAGAGTAATGAAGGCAAGCGAAAAAGAGAATGAAGATCTGTTCCGGGGCGCTGCTGGTGCAGTCGGCACTCTCGGTGTCACCACTCTGATAGATCTAAATCTTATCGAAGCCAGGAAGTATGTCAAGACCACATACTATCCTACACGCAATGTGGCACAGGCTATCAAAGAGGTCAAGGAGCATACCGAAGGCGAAAAAGGAGCTAAAAATGATTATGTTGATGGTGTGCTGTTCAGCAAGGACCACGGTGCTATAGTCACAGGCGAAATGACTGACGAACTCCCACCGAATACCAAGCCGCAAACATTTAGCAACCCTTGGGACCCGTGGTTCTATCTTCATGTTGAAGCAGCAACGCGAAAATCCAACGAGCCAGTCGTAGAATACATACCATTGGCCGAGTACATGTTTCGCTACGACCGCGGAGGATTCTGGGTTGGACGATCTGCCTTCAGCTACATGCGCTTTCCCTTTAACAAGTACACTCGGTGGTTTCTCGATGACTTCTTGTACACGCGCATGCTTTACAGAGCCTTGCACGCATCCGGAATCGCAACACGGTACATTGTACAAGACATGGCCTTGCCATACCCGAATGCAGAGAAGTTCATCGAGTACACGGATAAGACATTCAACATCTGGCCACTGTGGCTTTGCCCTCTCAAGCAAAGCCCCCAGCCGACCATGCACCCGCATACCAAGGATCCTCTCAAACCAGACCAGATGCTCAATATTGGACTGTGGGGCTTTGGACCTAGCGACCCCACGACCTACCTCCAGAAGAACCGTGCTCTCGAGAAGACGCTTGGTGAAATGGGCGGTATGAAGTGGCTGTACGCGCAAACGTATTATAGCAGAGAAGAATTCTGGTCCCAATTCGACCACAAATGGCACCAAGGATTGAGAAAGAAATACAATGCCGAGATGCTTCCAGAAGTGTACGACAAGGTGCACGTAGATGTTGAAAAGTACACGGAAATGGTGAACAAGGACTGGGGTCTCAAGTTGAGAGGTATATGGCCATTGGGTGGATTTTGGGGCATCTGGAAATCGATACAAAGTAAAGATTATATGATATCGAGGAACTCGACATGGAGGACCAGGCCCTAAATGTCAGCAGACACTAGGATGCTGGTTTAGTGAAACATAAACCTGGAGATATGCGGTACAGTCTCAGAAAATGGTCAAAATCCCATGTACAGTACATACATATCTTATTTGAATACTCTGTAATCTTGATTCGATCGATCGCTACGATATCCCACAAAGCTATTTTGGTTACATAGGAGCGGGGAAGCACTCACTAGCGCTGACCAGAAGAAACACTACACTAAACTGCACGTATTGCCACAAATGATTTACAAGAAAACTTTTTGTTCACAACAATCATCTTAGCAAACTGGGTTTGGAGTGTGCGAACGCGATACGCTTGCGCTGGAAAATCCCCATTCATCCTTGACTTTGGCCTCCATTCCCAGCACGGAACTATGCCAAGCATGCTTCTGATACTCGTGAGCATGAGGGATAGACCAGGAACCAGTCTTTAAGAGTTCATTGACTTCTGGTGTTATGCCAGAAGTCTTTTCTTCTGTGATGTCTGAAGTTGAGCGTTCGCTGCTTTGTGAGAAAAGCATATTGGCTTTGAAAGAGGGGTAGTCATACTTTCCTTGGTCTACAATTTCATGACTAATACCAGAGATTGTTTGAGTGCGGTTGTGATGCCTAGAGGAGGGGCCGGTCTCTGTGTTTGGTTCGCTGTCATTTTGTGTCGTTTTAGTGATCAAAGGCAAGACCTTCTTGGTCTGTGAGTGAGTCTCTACCGGCAGGAGAGGTATGAAGTTCGTTTTTGGTGTTTGATGAGACATGATGTTTGATACTGAAGAATCTTGATGACAGGAGGGTGTCTTGCTTGCTTTATATCTTACTTGGTTTGAGCGAGATACGTTGGGACTGCAACATGTGTCAGATCATCTCGTGATTGTCACGTTTCTTTGCATTACCGTGTGGTATAGGAGTGAATGAAAGAGGGGTATCAGCTCTCTGAGTGGTTGTCGTATGACTTTTACGTCTCCAATCGACTTGGTACCGTGTTCATCCCTTCCAGCCGATTGGTAAAACTAATCGGAAGGGCACGATCGGCTGCGCTAGTTTGCATTCGGGCAAGCGTATCCCCGCACGAATCTGGCCAGCATTTTCAGCTTCCAGACCACCCCTTCTGCATCATCACTTGATCCATGCATGTTGCGTCTTATCAGATCGTTTAGTTCATGCAAGATGGTGCAAGCGCCGCTGAAGCCTTTGATTGCCGTCGTGGGTGCGACTGGCACAGGCAAATCAGATGTAATGAAAATAATTTGAGTCATGCTGAGCGAAAACTGATCACAGTAGACAGCTAGCAGTGGAGATTGCACGGAGATTCGATGGCGAGATCATCAATGGAGACGCAATGCAGTTGTACCGGGGCTTGCCAATTATTACCAACAAGATTACTCCAGATGAAGCCAAAGGCGTGCCTCATCACCTCCTGGGCTCCATCGGCCTGGAAGAAGAGACATGGACTGTAGGAAAGTTTGTAGGCGAGGCTTTGAACACAGTATGAACCAAGCCCGCGTAAAGGGAATGCCACTGACCAGATCAGATTGAAGAGATCCGAAGCCGTGGCAAGTTACCTGTTCTGGTCGGCGGAACCCACTATTACACGCAATCGCTCTTATTTCAAGATGCGCTTGCCGATGAGCCTGCATTGAATTTGAACGAAAACAATGAAAAACTGCCAATATTGGAAGAGCCCACTGAAGTGCTCCTTGAAAAGCTGAAGGAAGTTGATCCTATTATGGCAGACCGTTGGCACCCAAACGAACGGCGTAAAATCCAACGCTCGCTCGAGATATATCTAAGGACAGGACGACCAGCATCTGAGTTATACAGTGAACAGCGACTCAAACGCCAGTCTTCCCCGTCTTCGCCCGATGCTCCACAATCTAATAGTGCCCCAAGTCTTCGCTTTGAGACTTTGGTGTTTTGGGTTCACGCTGATAAAGACGTTCTACATCGTCGCCTTGATGGACGTGTCGATAAGATGTTGAACAAAGGCCTACTCTCAGAAGTTCAAGAGTTAAGTAGTTTTGGCCAGCAGTATGAAGCTAAAACCGGTATTCGCATGGATCAAAGTCGTGGTATATGGGTATCAATAGGCTACAAGGAGTTCTTGGAATACCAACATGCTTTGGGAAATCAAACAATGTCAACGCAAGAGCTAGAGAAACTGAAAATAGCCGCCATCGAGAAGACTCAAGCAGCTACACGCCAATATGCCAATCGTCAGATCAAATGGATTCGCATTAAGTTGCTCAACGCACTGCTCGGCTCGGGACAGAAGAGCAATACCTTCTTAGTCGATGGGTCCGACATCTCGAATTGGGCTACTGATGTTGCACAACCTGCGACTACCATCACTAAGCAGTTCCTTGCGGGAGAGGTCCTTCCAGTGCCATCGTCACTTTCACCCGCTGCAGCAGAGATGCTCACACCAAAACAGGAGTACGACCTCGGGCAAAGACCGGATCTTTGGCAGAAGAAGATTTGTGACACGTGCGGAACAGTTGCTGTTACCGAAAACGACTGGATATTACATATCAAGAGCCGTGCGCATCGTCGAGCAGTTGGGGCAAAGAAGAAACAAGAGAACACACAGGGCGAGGCAAAGAAAACTATAAAAGCTGCCCAGACCGATGTAGTTGATGTTCTGGAGAGCTATCTGGAGGGCTTTCCGGACGAAAAGAATGTGGAATGAGATTAAGCTACTAAAGGATCACGATGGCGCAATGCATTCACAAACCCAGAATGCGCCCGTCGCCCCTTGCATACTTAGCAGCGAATCTCATGGATGATTTCCAAGCTGATAAATAAGGACAGACGTAAATCTATGGGTTTCAATAGGCCTCTTAGGGGGTTGGGGTGGGATTACCCAATTGGGAACTGAATAACGCTCAAGGCAAAAGAAAGAGGCTTAGCTTTCTTTACATAGGCGTACCTATGCAAACTGGATATGTCGACCGTCTCCCCACATAAGAGCCAGTTTCAACCCAATAGCTTTCAGGTGGTTGGTACTGCGTTCATCGCAGTCGTGCGATCTTGACTTCAACACTGATCCTCCAGTTCTTCCCTAATCGCCACTCAGCCGTACCATGTCGCCTTTCCGGTATTCCAAAGTGAGCAGCGAAAGCTTTCAGGATAGTTCTATTGAGCACCAACGCATACCTCCTCGGCAAAGCAGGTGCTGCTCAATCTTTGAAAAGTTGGAATTTCTTCGCTGGCCCGTCACATACTTCTTGCTATTCACCATACTATTATGCGAACTGTCTATGCTTCACAACCGACCAAATGCAGTGCCAGTAGGAACAGATTTCAACCGCGTTGTTCCCGTTTGTAAGTCGGTTATTTAACCCTTATCACACATTTTCTAACAAATTTCCAGTTTCGATCGAGAAGAAGATTTTCCGCAGCGACAAGAGGTTCAGATCCGACCACAAGACAATTGAATCCGTCAACGAAACAAGACAACAATGGACTAATCTTCTCCCCCGTAAGGCGACCCCCTTTCCCACAAAAAAAAAGACTCTCCATTCTAACCATAACAGTCGGCGCCGGCTTCATGGAAGTCTCAGACTACAACTCGTACACCCTACCACCTCCAATGCATTTCCCCGAAGCCCCCGGCAAAGAAGTCTTCTCCCTCGCCGTCTTCCACGAGCTGCACTGTCTTATGCACATTGCTGCCTCCATGGACGACCTCGTCATGCAGATCCGCAGAAAAGACTTCCATCTCGATGAAAGTTTCTTGTTGCATAACGACCATTGCTTCGATTATATTAGGAATGCTATCATGTGCTTTGGAGATACGACACTTGAGGGACAGAGCCGCACGCCTGGGCTCGAGCATGTGCCGGGTACGGATGGGACGGGGGCGATTCATGTTTGTCGGAATTTTGATGAGGTGTCGGCGTATGCGGAGGAGAAGAGGCTGAATGAGGGAAGGGAACATCTTTGAGATCTGAGGTGTTGTATATGTGTTATTGTTGATAGAATAGGGTGTAAGGTGTATCGTCGTAGCGTTTTTGTCTCGCTTGAGTAAATAGTAGTTCGTACATACAATACATTCTGTCGAAGCACTGAAAGCCCAGACTAGAGATCACCCTATGCCCACTATCTGAAGAAGCTATATAGAAAGTTGCTTCCGAAATGACGAGCATCTCACCACCCACTCTCCCGCGCAAGAACATCCCAGCCAACAAGCCGCCACACCTCCTCCTTATACCACGTCTCCACATCTTCATCCTCCACCTTGGCCACATTTTGCAACGAACTCAGACGCATTTGCGGCATCGGCTTCGTAAGAACGTCCAAAAAGTCATCATCAGTATTGTGCCCATACATGCACGCAACAAGTGTACGCTGCAGTCGATCTTTGGCAAGAGGACTCAGACGGGCCCTCGAGGTAGTAGCAATATTTTTAACACTCATTGCACGGGTAGCTCGATTTGGATTCTGCTGCGCTCTGAGGCTTTGTGAGTTCATGTGATTTGGGGCCAGACCCATTGCTCGCTCGAGGATTAGAATAAGTGCTTTGGCTTCCAGACGCAGGGCGAGTGCGTCAAAATCTCGCTTGGAAGCTTCAGCTGCATCTTTCGCTTCGGGTACCGGTAGTATGTTCCTTTCGATACTAGAAGAGCGGTGCTGGCCAAAAGTCGAGTAGTAGAGTCTTCTGCCGACGCGTTCGAAAAGAACGAAGATGAAGCCATCGAAAATCCGTTGATGAATATCATCATTCTTTTCTAGGAGACCAAGGAAACTTATCAGGAGATGTGCGACTGCTCTGGCTGGAGTAGACTCTCTGACAGTAGTTGAAGATGTCTTTGTCTTGCTTTTTTTCTGAGCCGGTGGCTGTGAGAGAAAACTGTGTCCAGTGAGCCGGGCGGATATCTCAATAGCTCTAAGTGCCACTTTGAACATGTCTGCTAGCTCACAAATAACCAAACTCGCTAGTCTCTTGTTGGCTTCTGACTTTGTGAGTTTGTCTAACCCGACTAGTATAGACATAAAAGTTCTGGCGCATACCGAGAGCGCATTGGCAAAATCCGATTTATCCTTCCCCGGGGAAGTTGCTCCGCTAGTGTTCTTGTGTTCTTGTCGGGCAAGAGAGTCGTGATTTTGGGCGATGAACAGTATGGTTTTCCCCATGGCTGAAGCACTGCTTATAAGATGTGAACAGAACGTGCTGGCATCAAGACCGCTATTTCTGCCTAGTGAATGAACGCTGAACAGTGACTCCATGAGGTTCTTACCATCCTTTCCAATCGCCTCTAAGAAATCCAAATCCTGATTGATAGTTTCTTGTGCGGCAGCGACCAGGTCATGGGCCCGCTTTTGGACCTGCTTTGGCCGCTTCAAACCCTTTGTCGATGATGGGGGCCGAATATTGGAGTCCGTTTCGATTTCTGAAATTGGGCTCTGTTGGTTCGATAGTAGTTGGTTCGATCTCTCAAGCTTGATGTTGACACTGCGAAGTTGTTCACATTCATCTTCTGCTCGCTTGCATCGCTCCTTCCAGTAGGCAACTTGATCGACGTAGCATCCCGGGTTCGCTCTTTCTCTCGGGTCTTGGCCAAGCTTAATCTGGGACCGTAGGTGGATAACGTGTTCTTGCCTTGTTAGTTGATTTGCAGTGCGTTTCAGTGGCGCTTACCCACCTCGCAACGGCACTCCTGCGGGTTTACATCGGATGATGGCAATAGCAAGGGCTATCTGCTGCTGAGATGGTAGAGAAGTTGAAGGATTTTTAGTCGCAATCGGATCCATCACTATGTCTTGTATCGAAGGTGTGATAGAAACGCGATATGGGATAGAGAAGATGACGATATGGTGATGTAGAAGGAAGATGATGCTAAAGGTGATTATCCAGTTGCAGAAGCCATTTCACGGTCAGTGGGAAAAGAAGGTGGCGGACGGCAGACGACGCTGATATATTAGGGCGGGAGAGTGAGAGACATTAACACACTAAAGACGGAAGGAGCGACCTCAGTGCTCAACCTTTGGGCCCATGCACCCCATAGATTTCACGCTCTTCGGACCATAATACATATGCTTCACTTGAAATGTAATAGTAGAGTGCTTCAAGGCACTATATAATCTACATATATCTACATTGTCCACCCGCTCTTTCGGCTTGATTCTTACAAGTCGCTCACCGCATGCGTTCTGTCCTTCTCTTGTATGGAAGAGGCTCGACCTTCTTCCTCTTGAATTCGACATTGATCTGACTCTTCATTCCAGCTCGCTCCATGACACCTGCCATGCTGTCGTCCCATTTGGTTCTGAAAAGCGTAGCCGTGATGGGGTGGAGCTTGTTCGAGTCAGTGAAACTGCGCAGGTTGAACCCTATGCGCTTGACGTTGTTGAACTTGGTAACATCAAGCGCCTGGCCAGCATTCTGCTCAAAGACAAAGATTCCCAGACGATGGTACGGCGCACCCCTGTGAGCCCAGGGCGCAATCCAGGGCAGCGCAATTTTCTTTGCGCTAGGATCCTCGACCTTTTGGTCTTCTTGGGCGATGCGCTGAAGAGGTATAGATGTATTGTTGGGGGAAAGTGGTATGTTGGAGGCAATCAAGTGGCATCGGTAGGTGAAGCTGTCAGTCTCTGGGACAGGCACATCTGCATCTACTACCACAACTGTGACGAGTTTCTCACCCGGGGTGAACATCTGGACGTTGAGTCGAGGCATCTTCTCACTGATCGCAGAGTCGACAAAGTCGCCTGGTGCAGCCGACTTCCTACCGAAACCGAGATCGATATCTGCCACAAGGTCCAAGGAGGGAAGAATATCTGGAATAATGGCCAATTGTGTAACACGCTGTTCAAGAACGAGACGCTTGTACTGTCGCCACTTCTTGTCGGCAAGGTATCGATATATGGGCTTGTTCATGTCACCTTCACAGCGGTCAGTCAAGCCCAGAAAACCAGACATATAACCTACCCTGTCCATCCTCAAACTTTCGCTTGACCACTGGGTCATTGATATCGGCCAGAATGATCAATTCGTTCAAATGCTTCCGCATACTCCGTAACCTATGCTCCTTGGCCGCAGGCCCACCACTGACACTAGGGTCCTGGTCCATCAAGTTCTTGATTCGCAGCTGTTGCGTCTCAATCTCTTTGATCTTCTCTTGCCTATCCTCCAACAAAAACTTGCGAGCCTCTTGGAAGCACTGATAAGGTAATTGTTCAAAGGGAATCTCTGTCGCCTTCTGTATCGCAGAACGGCGAAGAGCAGCACGACGACGGCGAGATCCAACTGGCTGCACATGCTCTCTCCGTAGCAGGCGGCGCTCCTGTTTCTTGTTCTCCACCATCTGAGGGTCTAGTGTGCCCCATTTTTGCATGAATTCGGGGACTGCTTGGGGCGATGCATTCTGGGCAGCACCTTCGGGAGGGTTCGAGGGTGGGGGAGGCCGAGTCGCATTCGCAGATTGCGTTTGCACCTCTTCATGGGCCACAGCGGAGGTCGAGAGCAGACGGCGCGTGCCAATGGCGCCAGGCAGCTGTCGCACACATCTCAGGCATGCGCTGAACTGGCGTACGGACGGTGTGGAGGCCATGGCGGACGATGGCTTGGTGTCGATGTGCCGAGTGATGGTGGTGCTAGAAAATGTGGTGATGGGTGACGGTCCGTGCTCCGAAACCTCCGCCCTCAACTCCGCGACTTCAACCTTGGGGCTTTTTTTGATACCCGACCCGGCATGGCTTCCTCGAGGTTATCCGCGCCGATGCGGGGCGTCACATTGCAATTGAGCAGGCTGTCAATACGGCAGAATGCGCTGTGCATTCGTTGCGCTGTAGGTAGTCTCTTATTTGTGGCATGCGACCTGCTAACGCCTCACAGAAATCTCTATGTACACCCTCTGCCCGCTCCATAACCACGTCTGCGCCAGTCAATGCCACGATATCAACAATCAGACAACCAGGCGCCGATTATGTCCCCGTCAAACCGTTTGAGGAGCAGACCGTCTTGGCGACTATCCACCAATTCCCCTCACTAGAGCCGCTACGGTTCGAACAATACCCTGCAAATCACCTCTACCTGCCTACCCGACGAGACATATTACATCGTGCTGTCATCTATGAGGGTGACATGACCCGGTTGGGAACTGCCTCTACGAAGACCAGACATGAGGTCCGCGGTTCAGCAAGAAAGATTCGACCACAAAAGGGTACAGGTCACGCCCGTCTGGGAGACAAGAAGTCGCCCATGTTGAGAGGAGGTGGAGTCGCATTCGGTCCCAAGCCCCGCGATTTTTCGTCAGAGCTTCCAAAGAAGGTATATGACCTAGCATGGCGGACAGCATTATCGTATCGCTTTAGAAAGGGCGAGCTCATCATCGTTGACAATGCCATGGAGATTGAAAGTCCATCGACAAGATTACTGAGCGATATCTTCAAGCACCACGAGAAGCTACAGGGTAAAGGCCGCAGCTTGATGGTGACTTTGGAGGAGCGACCGTTATTGGAACAAGCGCTCGTTGAGATGGACCGTGGCGAGCAAACCCTAACATGGGAGGAAGTCGATGTCAAGAACCTGCTGGAGCTCTCTCGCGTGATCATTGAGCGCGACGCTTTGCACAACATTCTTCTTTCTCATGAAGAAGACCTTACACACAAGGCTCTCCAGCCATGGCATAAGAGCCTCATCAGGTCATCACCCCCTTCAGAACTCGAATCCGTCGTCGGCTGGGAAGAATTCCGCAACCTCTCCCTCGCCGATCCCAAAGAAAAAGAAACTCTCCGCGCCGAGGCATATGAAGACACAGCAACAAAACGCTACGCCGAAGCCGAATCCCTCCCTTCAGGTCCCAAGCGCACAGAACTCACAATCTCAGCCTACAACCTCCTTGCCGAAGCCAAGGAAATCCAGTTCGCAGAGAAGACCGGCCAGTCTTTCGCCGACTACCTCGACCACGGCGAGCCTGACCGCTTCCCCCGCATTCAAACCCTGAACTACCAAATCAACATCAAGGACGACGTCGTTAACACCGCAGCTGAGACATCCCGCCAAAAAGCAGAGGAACTCATGGTCGAAATGCGCGAACTTGAAGTCGAGAAACTAGAAGTCCAGTACGAAGCTGCACTACTTGCCGCACAGGTCCACGAGCACCGCGTCGAGGCTCTTCGTCTTGGCGGCGAGCTAGAAAAGGCAGAGGAGCTACTTGAAGCTGCTAGCATCGAGCGGACGCACGTTGATGACGTGGAAGTGGCGCTGCTTGAAGCGCAACTCGAGGTCGCAAAGCAAAAATCCGTTGTCGCGAATTTGAACGGTAACTTTGCGGCAAAGCAAAAGGCGCAAGAAGAGATTCGTGCATGCGAAGAGGCGCTTGCGACGAAGAGGGCTGAGATCGAGGCTGAAAATGCAGAGGTTGTTGAAGATGTGGACGCAGTTGAGATTCCAGCGGTTGAAACAGGGAAGGAAGAAAAGAAGATATAGACTTCTTGTTCAGAAGTGTATGTGTTATTGTACAATTGTATCTATAGATGCTCGTGAGCCGTGGCTTGATCGTTTACATAACATGTGAAATGGCAGGTGGTGGTGTTACATGGTGCACATGCTGATGCTTCTTTCCGTCTCTTTCACTGACCGCGACTGGGCGTTTAGTTCTGAGAAGCACACCTAATGCTTGATATCGAGTTAGGTGACGTAGAAATCTCACGCCGCGTCATCCTCCACCTTTTTCTCCACCTTCTTCCCTTCAAAGACAACCGTCATTACCCCTCCAACCTGCCCCTCACTCTTGCCCTCTCTAGCCCCCTTGCACTCTGCCACAGCATCTCTAACAGCCTTGAGAACCGCATCCGCCTCTTCAGGCGTCGCCTTTCTCCCCTTCTTCTTCGGCCCCATCAAAACCTCAACCTTCCTCCCCTCTTTGAGAAACCTCTTCAGAGACTCCAGTCGGTGCTTCAAATCACCAGGCGCAATTGCCCAATTGAGTTCAAGAGACTTTGGGATAGGACCAGCGCCCTGACCTTTTGCCTGGCGGCGCAGCGTCTCGAGTTTGCGTTCGTGTTGAGCGCGGAGATCCATTTTGGAAATGACTCTGCAGGTAGGCAGGTTGTCGGGGTCAAGTTGTCCGTATTCATCGACTTTTCCTGGCGTCATTTGAACTAGGTGGTGAGTGACTTTGTTGAAGCTGGTCAATGCCTCGTCGGTCGGAACGTCATTATGGAACGTGCCATTTTCATCTACGAGGTTTATGCGCTCGGCTTCGATGGCGTTGTCGATGATGTAGTAGTCTGATATTGCATGGCGACGGGTGTCTTTGGTGTATTTCTTTGTGCGGATTGATGTCCGTGAGGTAAGACTGGGTGTTGAAGAGGCGAGAGATGTATGTCCTGACACTGAAGGCGCAAATGCTGGAGCGTATAGCAGTGGAATTGAAGTCGTGGTGCGCAGAGATGGGGCGATGAAGACGCGGTACAGTGCACGCGAGGTTCCAGAGATGTGTGTGGGCGGCATTTCGGATGTAGTCTTTGAAGACGGCTGTAATAGTCAGTGAGAAAGAAAAAGAAAAACTGCCAATGGTGGTGTGAGAACGATCGTAGAAAGCTTCAATGTTTTCCGATTGACGCTAGTACCGGTCGAGATCGAATCGGAGCAGCGACGACCTCCGAGAAGGCCGCATCCCCCGCCAACTCACACCTCCGTGACTATCTCCAGCCCACCCCATGTAGCAACCCACCATGGTAACGACAGGCCTGGCGCACTGTTACTTTCGCTACAACCAACTTGGCCTGCCGCCATGAGTAATCCGCTCGAGGACTATCTAGCTGCACTGGACGCGCGTGATGCCAGGGAGAAGGCGCACGAGGCCTACGTCAACGCCTGTAAGAGGCTTTTTGCCTGCGTTGTGCTGCGCTGAAGCATCGAGTGGGGCTCATGATACGTAGATACAAAACTTGCCGATGGCACAGCAAGCCTGGTCCCCCCAGCAGCTCCCGCCGAAGAACCTTTGTCTGCCAGCGCCTCTCTCAAGGCTCTGACGTACAGGGGCAAAGGCAAAGCGAAAGGTTCCGCTACAACAGATCCCGCACCGTCTTCTACAGCTGCACAACTCCGCGCCGAACTTGCAGCCACTCAGCGTACCCGCGGTGACCTCGAGGCACGACTCAGTGCCACCTCTGCTGAACTCTTCGCCCTCAAAACCACAGAGACGGAACAGAGACGGCGAATAGAACATCTGGAAAAGACGCGCAGGGTACTCGAGAGGCGGGCCAGAGACACAGCTGAGGAACTCAAGGGCAAAGGAAGACTAGTAGAGGACGTGCACGACGAAATGGTGGCGCTCAACTTGCAGCTGAATATGGCAGAGCAGGAGAAGGAGAAGCTGCGCAAGGAGAATGATGAATTGACCAAGAGGTGGGTTAAGAAAATGGAGGAAGAAGCTAAGAAGATGAATGAACGGTCCGGGTGGGGAGATCAGTCGCGGAGGATCAAGTAGACAATCGGAAGATGAGAAAGTTTGACGGTCTAGAGAGTAGTGTTTGGGTAGGCCAGCCTCGACGTTGTATTGGATTTACCATGACAATGAGGAGATCCAATTGTGTAGATTTTCGACTTACATTTGGGTCATGCTATTTGACACTGGACATTGCATACTGACATACACTGACATACGCTGGTGCCTGGTCATGTCTTGGCGTTCCCGAGCTCCCCGCAATCCCACTACTCTACTATAGTTCCCCACCTCCACCCACCAGCAAACCAGACAACGCACTTCTGCGGTACCACTCTCCAAATCACTGCACAATGGGTACCGCACTCAAGACCTGGGGTGAGTAAGCGTGCTTCTTCAATAGCACAGCGTCATGTGCGCCCCGCATGCCCCGCCACTCGACCATGTCACTAATATACGTCTCCCAGAGCTCGAGAACTCGATAAAGCTCGTGGATCCAAGCAAGGATGCACTGTACAACTACTCTCCTGCTGCTCAGAGAGCCATCAACGAGGCCCACCCATGGCGAACCGACCCCAACTACTTCACTTCGGTCCGCATCTCTGCCATCGCCCTCCTCAAGATGGTCATGCATGCGCGTTCAGGTGGCTCACTTGAGGTCATGGGCTTGATGTTAGGCAAGATTGAAGCACATACCTTTGTCGTCACAGACGCCTTCCGACTACCTGTCGAAGGGACAGAGACACGAGTCAATGCGCAGGATGAGGCAAACGAGTACATGGTCGAGTTCTTGCAGCGAGCACGCGAACAAGGGCAAATGGAGAACGCAGTGGGCTGGTACCACTCACATCCTGGTTATGGTTGCTGGCTATCTGGTATCGATGTCAATACACAGAAGACACAACAGCAATTTCAAGACCCCTTCTGTGCCATCGTCATCGACCCCGACCGAACCATCTCTGCAGGCAAAGTCGAGATTGGCGCCTTCCGCACATATTCGACCGAGTACGTCGAGAACCAGCAAAAGACCGGTGGTTCAAAGGTATCAGGAGGTACAGACAGCGACGGTTTTGAGACCATTCCGCTGGGCAAGATTGAGGACTTTGGTGCTCACGCCAGTCACTACTATTCCTTGGAGGTCTCGCACTACAAGTCTTCTCTGGACGCCAAACTGCTCGAGGCCCTCTGGAACAAGTACTGGGTACAGACGCTTTCGTCGTCGCCCCTGATCTCAAACCGCGAGTACGGCACTAAGCAAATCTCCGATCTGGCACGCAAGATGCAGCAAGAGTCACACAACAGCTCACGGTTCAAGGGCGGTCAGGGCTACTCGAACAGCCTCGAGGTCAAGAACCAATTGACCAAGCTGGGCGCGGTGGGGTCGAAGATTGCGCGTGAAGAAGATATGGGTCTGCTAGCAGCACAAGTCAAGGATAAGGTATTCAGCTTGCCGAGCGAAGGCGAGGTCAAGAGCCCAGACGTTGTTGAAATGGAGACTTCGTGATGTTGCAGGTCGAAGGGGTGTGCGAACATATGCAATGACTGAACAGCATGACAAGGCGTTTATGGCGTAGCAAAGGGGATTATTCGGATTGGATTATAGAATTACAGAGGGTAGTGTATTAAGTTCGATACAATCCTGTCATAGTATCATGACACGAACTTCGTTCACTGGTATCATACAATTCACAAAGCAGACATTATCCATCTGCATCACCCCCAACCCATCTTTCAGCACCCCAACCTCGCCAGCGTCTCCCTCCGACCCAGGATGACCATGACATCATAAATCCGCATCCCTTCCCCCTGCCCCGTAATCGTCTTCCTCAAATAATGATATACATCCTTACTCCCCTTCTTGCCTTCCTCCCTCCCATCAATAATCTCGCGCACTTTCTGCATCAAATGCTCCTTATCCCAGTCCTTCTCCTCGACCTGCGCCAGCATCTGCGCGCGCATCGGGATATCCGAGGACGTAGCTACGGGCGGCGCATTCTGAAACGGTCGTAGAAGCGTGAAGAAGAAGGAGTTGCGGTAGAGGAATTCGTTTGCGTTTGTGTAGTTTTCCGCGTCGACTCGCACAATGCGTTTTATATAGTCGTGGGGAAGAGGAGAGTTGACGATGGCTTTCCAGTTGCTGTAGGGGGAATCGGGGCTTGTGAGTAGAGTGGCGATATTGTTTACGATTTCATCGAGGCCCGGGCCGCCGGTTTGGGCGCGGAGGAGGGCGTGTTTGCGCTGGAGGAAATGCAATTTACCAAATGTAACTGTGGTGTTTCCCTTTGTGAATTTCAGGGAGAAGTTCTTGATGAGGGCTTCGAGATCCATTACGTCGGTTTTTTCTTTGTGGCTCCAGCCCAGCAGGGCGGCGAAGTTTGTGAGGGTTTCGGGGAAGATTTGCATTTCTTTGAAGGCGGCGATGTCGGTGTCGAAGTTACGCTTGCTGAGCTTGTTGCCGTGCTCGTCGACGAGGAGGCCGACGTGGGCGAATTCTGGAGGGTCCCAGCCAAAGGCTTCGTACATGGCGATGTGTTTGGGGGTGCTGGGCATCCATTCGCTGCCGCGGATGACGTGCGTGATTTTCATGAGGTGATCGTCGACGACGTTGGCGAGGTGGTATGTGGGCAGGCCGTCTGACTTGAGGAGAATGGGGTCTTCGTAGGCGGTTTCGGTGACATGGCCGCGTCGCTTGAGGGGGTGGAAGGTGCCGAATATGAGGTCCTTATAAGTTGGGTATTGTTCAGGCACTTTGAGGCGTATAGTATACGCTTCTCCCTTTGAGGCTCGGTCGTCGCTCTCTTCCTTGGATATCGGGGCGCATGTACGGTCGTAGTCAGTGGCTATCCCCAGCTTATGTCTGTGTTGGGCCAGCGCATTTAAGCGCTCTGCTGAACAGAAACAGCGGTATGCATTGCCCGAATCTAGCAAGTCGTGCGCATGCTTTCTATACAATTCGCTCCTCTCTGACTGTTTGTATGGCCCGTATGGTCCTCCCACTTGTGGCCCCTCATCCCACTGTAGCCCCGCCCATCGCAAATCGTCAAAGAGTCGCTGCTCGGCGTCGAGAACTGTGCGCTTCTGGTCCGTATCTTCTATCCGGAGAAGAAACTGTCCGCCTGTGCGCTTGGCAAGGAGGTAATTGAATAGCGCAGTGCGTAGTGATCCTAGGTGCAGGTAGCCGGTTGGTGATGGTGCGAAGCGCGTCCGTGCAGGAAACGATGGCAAGGCTGTTTTACTCTTCTGGTCCTTCGGTGCCTTTGAGCTAATCTGGCGCCGTGAGCCTCGTGATATTCGCAGGAGACATGAGCGGCATGTATAGGCGGGGAATTGCGGGCGAAGGAGAAGAGAAACGGCCATGGCTGTGGTGATGCGACGGCGACCAGAAGCTGCCGGTCCGCTTGTGCAAAATGTCAGACAGGGATCTCTTCTATCTTGACCTTAGTGCGGGCGCGTCTGAACTTTTGCCCGCATTGCAAACTGATCGGCCTCTCTGGAGAAACTTTGTCGCCCTTACCTTTACTCAACTCCTGGTTGGCAGCCTTGCACGTTGCACGCTTTCTCCTTGTACATATACCCCTGAAGCAAACTCTTTCGCCCGCTCCCCTAACCTTCCCATTCATAGACTCCGCACAAGAGTACGTATCTTCTGTTCATCAGGCCATGATTACATGCTGACTGAAGCACAGTGGACGAAGAAATCGACCTCTACGGTGCGCCTATATGCTTACCTGAGGTGCATACAAACTAACAGAGACAGAAATCCTTGAGATCGAAAAGGGCGCAACCAAGGTCGAGATCAAAAAGGCCTATCACAAAGTGCGTAAGCAGAAGCGAGCAACGCATAAAGCAACGCATCTCTAACATACCCAGGCTGCACTCGCACATCATCCCGATAAGGTCGCTGAGGAAGATCGTGCAGAGGCCGAGGTCCGCTTCAAGGCTGCAAAGCAAGCCTACGAGATTCTCTCCGATGATGACAAGCGCCAACTGTACGACACCCACGGCATGGCCGCCTTTGACCCGTCCAAGGGAGGAATGGGCGGCGAAGGCCCAGACATTGACGACATTTTTGCGCAAATGTTTGGTGGCATGGGCGGCTTCGGAGGTATGCCCGGCATGGGTGGTATGGGAGGAATGCCCGGCGGGCGCCACGTACCTCGTAAGGGACGGTCGGTAGAGCAAGAGTACGAGGTTTCACTGGAAGAATTATACAAGGGCAAAACGACCAAATTCACAAACACCAAAAACATTGTCTGCAACTTGTGCAAAGGCAGCGGCGGCAAGCAGGGTGCCAAGAGCAACTCTTGTGCTGTGTGTAATGGAAGGGGTAGGTCGTTATTCCCACATTTGAACGGAATTATTGACTAACCCTTATAGGTGCCAAACAGGTACTTCGCCAAGTCGGCCCTGGTCTAGTCACTCAAGAGACCGTTCCCTGCGGCAACTGTCAAGGTTCTGGACAAGTCATTCCCGAGAAGCAGCGCTGCAAGAAGTGCAAGGGCAACAAGGTCGTGGAGACCAAGAATGTTCTTGAGCTTTACATTCCTCGTGGTGCCCGAGAAGGCGAGAGAATTGTGCTAGCAGGAGAGGCGGATCAGCTGCCTGACCAGGAGCCCGGCGATATCATCTTCACTCTTACTGAGACACCTCACGATGTGTTTGAGCGCGCAGGCGCTGATCTCCGTTGTGAACTCAAGGTCACTTTGGCCGAAGCCCTTACAGGCTTCAACAGAGTTGTTGTCACCCACCTCGACGGAAGGGGTATCAAGATGAATGTCCAACAGCCCAATGGAAATGTTCTCCGACCAGGACAGGTGCTCAAGATTGAGGGCGAGGGTATGCCGAACAAGAAGAGTGATACTAGGGGTGACCTATACCTTGTAGTGGATGTCGAGTTTCCTCAAGATGGATGGCTCAAGAGCGAAGCCGCCGTGCAAAAGGTTCGCGATGCTCTGCCCAAGGATGAGAAACCCGAGGAAAAGCATGAGGAAGTCGAGGAAGTTGAAGTCGATTGGGACGCTGACATGGAAGAGTTTGGAGCTGGCAGTGGTGACCCACGAGCCGGTGGTGCCGAGTGGGAAGACGATGAGGAGGGCGAGGGCGGCCCTCAGTGCGCGACTCAGTAGAAACACTGCGTTGACACGACCTGATGAAATGCATGGTTTTGGCGTTGCCGGGAACGATGATGGGTTATTTTTCTGCTTTTCTCCCCAGTACACACACACATACACCTCCGGCTTGGTTGTGGACATTAGACTGGGATTCATCGGCTTTTTTTATGCTCATGTGCTTGCAACGACTCCCTGTCTTGATGCGATTCTATGGATAGACGTTACTGATACCCGGATTTACAGCTCTTGAAGGCAGTATCTTGGTTGGGGTAATGCAAAATGGTTCCCTGAGACAGTTTCATGGGTCAAGTTAGTTATGAGTGATAGCTGCGAATGTGAATGGGATAAGGTTTGAAGTATCAGCAATCTAAGTCTTCATAGAGAAGTTCAGCACTAGACACGTATATGCTAGCCACACAGCCTAGATGTGACATTGTGCTATAAAATATAACTCAAAATCAAACAAACGAAGAGTTGATTGTTCACCATACCTAAAGACCGCTTTCTTTCACTTCAATACTTTCACCACTTGAGCTTGTGTCTGCCTCAGTGCACATGCCACTGCTACCGTTTGCTGCCAAGACAATGCGAGCGACTTCTCTTCCTGAATACCACACTCTGTGCCTCTTCATTTTACCTCACACAACAATTATAGACCATGCAACACCATCGACCCACTCTTTCACCAGTCCCCGACGTGGGACGCATGCCATCAGCACCACCACGCTTTTCTGCTCAATCACCAGCTCCAGATTTCATCATCGTCGGTCTGTTCGCGCTACGTCTAGCAAAGGGATTAATTGAAGGTCTTGAATACTATCCAGGTCGTGATGCAGATATCATCTAGCTTGTCAACTTCCTGGCGCCGTTCAGCAATGACTACGCACTGGCAAAGTTATCAGGTCGTCAGAAAGACGACTACCTCCAGATGTATCCAGCCATTGTATCCCGGATGAAGAAACAACCGCGGTATCCTATCAGGTTCATGCAGATGAATCCAGATCAGTCCATGTACCAGTCACAACAGCGCGGCGTTGCAGGGCAGCCAGGGGAGATGACGGATGGTAAATGAATCAATACACCTCATAATTTGTTCATCATCTTACTTAATCCAGTCAAGAGACTAGAGATTATCGACTTTTGCGATGCGGCAAGCGAATGGGGCTCCAGCGTTCCTATACCATCGCGCGAGGCGGAACGAATAATCGAGCTAGCTGATCAAAGGCGCATCGCAGATCTTGAGCGTTCACAAAAGCGCGGAGAGGAGCAATTGGGAAATTCAGGGCATTCTCGCTTCGAGTCTACAAGCTTCTCACCTGAAGAATGCACACAATATATAAACAACAGTTCGCGGAGAGGCGACGAATCCTCAAGGCGAGAGGAAGCAAGAACGAACGTAGAGGCTAGAAGGGACCGGCATGTATCTTTTTCGGATGAGCGACGGGATTTCGAGGCAAGTTGTCTACTTCTAGAGTAAGATTCATTGGATGCTAATTCATATAGGAGCGAAGACGATAACTGCATAACCAGGCATTGGAGCTCCTTGTATACAAGCGATTGATACCTACGAAGCTTGTTCATACCAGGTCAACAGACTGTTCACAGTTTCCAGCACACTTTACTCCTCGTCACACTGATCCCGGTCTGGTGCTTGTCATTGCTTTCAGTCCCATTGCGCCGGCGAAATCACGTGCTTCCCATGCGTACGTATTAGCTTCTACAATGCGTAACCTCAACACCCTGCCATTCAAATTCCATAATTTCTACGTTCTATCACATACGACCATAGATTCCAGAAATTAGCGCTTCCCGTTCGCTCAGCGGTACTCAAGCTAGAAATCGGCGGACTAGTAGTCAGGTGGGTGACCACTGGCGAATCCCCGCTGTTGTATGTTTTTTGTATTTTTGCACTTTCATAAGTTCGCGATGGTGGAACACAGCATGTAATTGAGTTTTGAGGAGAATTTTTGATCCGTTTTCAGAGGTAGGAAAGTACGGTATTACGTCACTAATAGTTGTTTTGGTGTTATGATGAATTTTGGGCAATTCTCTACATTTCACCCAATATTGTTTTTCTGGATATGCAAGACCGCTCCTACTTACAAAAAGTACTTAGCTCGAGCCTGTACACGTGCAATTGCCACCACTCCACAACCCAGACGGCCATGGGTCAGATCCCAGATTACCACTTACGAAAACAACAAGGACTGCTGCGTAGCTGCGCAAACGTCAGCTCGTATTCACAGATACTAGTATCACTAGTGGCTCACCCGGCAGTAGCTGCAAACACTTCAGATCGTTTCGCAGTTGTGAATAGACCCACGCTACCAGCGAATAGCAGCATAAAAACTCCAACCATAATGAGCTTGACAGTTGGATTCGAGATATAATAAAGAGCCAGGATAGCGACGAACAGCAGAATCACTGTGATTAAGACGCTGAGAATGGTCACAAATCGAGCTATCCGCTTCTCTAGGATATATGCCATATTATCTTCACGTCTCTCCGCCTGGAAAATATGAGCCTTGATTGCGAATAAGATGCGCTTATATTACCATGAAGAACACTGGGAGATACCGATGGACAAAACTTGTCAGCCTATCCTCGAATTCTGGCTGCTTTAGGACCACAAGATCCTCGTTCGTGGTGTAGAGCTTCGCGCTGGACCCGGTCATGATGGACTCTCGCTGTTTTAGAGCCTTATCGTATCTAGTCGCCGCATGGTGGATCGCATCAAATGTGCGCACTGGTGGTGGCCCGAGAGATGCAAGTGTGCTTTCAAAAATCAATGCCTCTCCTACCAACACGTTAGCCATACAATCTCTACCGCATCAAGGCCTCAAATTTACTATATTCTTTTAGTTTCTGCCGTACTTCGAACACAAGATCCATCCGAGCCTTCTGGCGTGGATTGCTTCCACCCTCTGCAACCCCATGGAACAGCTCCCAGCTCTTCGCGCATTCTTGTGTATCAGCGTCTCCAAATTCTATACTGCAATCTTGGGAATCGGTATGCTCCTGTATTTGCGATCAGCGGTATATTTCCGTTAATCTCCCTGAGTGCAACGAACGAGTCTTGCCTCTAGAGCTGCAAGTTCACTCTGGAAATAAAGCAAGTTGCGAGCCGCAAGCCTATCAAATCGATGAAAAACGAGCGATGTACGGTCCGGATCGCTTGAAATGAAGTTTGCCAGAGATGGGAAGCCGTCCAGCGGACGTATCTGCTCATGGCCCGTTTCTACATCTGATCGATGGTTTTGAGGCATGGAGGAGATGTCTGGTGTCAAGCTCGCAGCGCACAACTTGCACAGCGTCGAGCATCATCAAGCGACTCTGCCTTGCCGCTCACCGGTCAGTCATCCCAATGTTATTGGTCTATCAATTTGAGCAAGCACACCGACACTCAGCCGTATGCAGAGTGATCTGCAAGCCACCGACCTTAACTCGGAAGGCTGGGCTTGGCTAGGTAACACAAGCTGGTCGCCCCATCGCACAAGAAGAAGACTAAGATCCCCTTCGAACCCCCCATCACGATTATCTCGAAACTGAATGGTTTTCGTATCCAAGTCGTCTCCAATCACTCCCAGTCGATAGTCACCTTTTCTCTCATCCAAAGTCATTCATCGATCTGTCGGATTTACAATGCTAAATCCGGCTCTTGTTTATACTCGTCTATTTGTTCGATAGGAACTCCACCTAATAACTGCACTGTAAGTATTCACAGGGGATCTCTATTTTGTACCATCTCTGTAGGTTGGGCTCACACTATCACAGGGAAGCGAAAAGCCTTCCATGGAGCAGAGCTCGTCGTCAGAGCCTGTGCAATCGACGCGAACTTTAAGCGAAGAAAACTTATCACAGCATAATGCGGCTCCATACTTTCAACATCATGAAGCATCGCTTGAGCCACTCGATTACCAAGACATGCTAAAGCAGCGATGGAGGCCCTCGTTCTATGAGCAAGTCACTCTTGCCGATTGTATGGAAAGTCGTGTTCAGGCAGCTGCTGAAAGAACTTCAGCTATGGGCTTCGATGCTTCCTCAAATTTGAGCCATGGGCGTTCCACTATCTGCGCCTCAATTCACAACACGGATCCAACCGCAGGGTTCAGAGCCAGCCCGAAGCTTGCCCCACAAGACACACTCGACGTAACTGCTGTCCTCACATCATGGGCCGTCAATGACGAAATTCTATCTTTACCTGAAATAATGTCACCCTGGCCGAGTTCTCTGTGCGCAGAAATTGATGAAAATCTAGAGCCTCAAGAAGTGTTGACTACTCCAGAGACAGTCATTCCCAAGCAAAGAAAGACCCAGAAAGGGCTTCCACTCATTTTCAAAGTGGACTCTGGTTCTGAAGAAATCATGACTGGACATGACACAGGCACAGAGGCTAACCACATGTCTCTCGAGCTCGCTCAGAAGCTCGGATACAAAATCAATAGGGAAGAACAGGAGAAAGGACTATTCCAACTTCCCACAGGCAAGATCATTGAATCTGTTGGACAAGTTATCGCTCAAATTCAATTCGCCCAAGGAGAAGGCTCCAAGACGTCAACTTTTACTTGCCAATTCAACGTTTTCTCCAAACTAGCCATGCCTGCACTCATTGGCATGGCTTTCCTGAATGCAACCGAAACTCTTACAACATATCGATCCCGACTCGCCACTCTTCCTGCAGGATGGAAACGATCGCTGCGCCTATGTGCCGTCGGGAATGCAACCAACGAAGTCAATTGCGTCTTAAACGGACGCGATGCAAAAGCTATCGCTGACACTGGGTCTGAAATCGCCCTCGTAAGCGGTGAATATGCGTTACGTCATGGGCTTCTATACGAGTATAGCTGTGAGGAACTTGAGCTGGCGGACGGCTCACTCGAGCATACAAGTGGATTCGTAGACCTTGTACTCGCAATACAAGACCCTGGGTCACATGACAGGAAGTGGACGGAGAAGAAAGTGCGATTTCACGTTCTCGAGTCTCTTCGTTTTGAGGTTCTTCTTGATGAGGCAATTGTTGAAGATTTCAAAATCTTTCAACGGGGTATCGCCTTTATGCTGCAATTGACCTCCAACATTACTGCCAGCTTGGCGTCGATTGCACATCTTCGGACCATAGATCAGTCGGTTGCGAATGGGAAAGAGAAGTTAAAAAGAAGATGGGCATTACTCTTGCAATCTGTCCAACTCTATACTGATAGTAAGCCATCTCTTGACCCCCATCAAACACTACTAATACGTATTAGCTACCTCAGCTCCTCCCGTCAGTGGTCAACCCACGTTTTCTCTAGAAAAAGCCGAGATTGAGAAAGAGATACGCACTTTGGATAAGAAACGGCTCCAGAGACGTGCGGAATTCCGGAAGACGTCGCCTACAGTGGCTGAAACCGAGCGCTCTAATCAAGAGGAGAGTCAATATCGGGCCGAAAGAGAGGTTCTTGTACAAAAGTTGAAAGCGCTATATCCGCCATGAACCACTACATATCATGCTGTATCAGGACGTGACCGGACTGTAGATATAAAGTGGGATCCCTGTCAAGCGCGAATAGTTAACCTTCTTCAATCAATTATCATCTAACGACTGTTTTTTAGCTATCATATCCCTCGGTTGTGAGTCCCCCTTGATCTTTTGAACGCGATATCTTATTCTGCCACAATATGCAAAATGTGTAACTCGAATGCAAAGACATAGCTCCGTGGCACTGCTCGAACAATCAATCGCTCAGGACTCAGGAACCAGTTGGGTATATGGTCTAACAGTATATGGCATTTGGCCACTCCATAAAGGAAATCTATAAAGATCGTTAGGAGAAAACAACTCCAATGGAATAGTTGAACTCCTCCTATCACAGATGTAGATCAGCGATCGAAAAGAGCTGTCAGGAGCGATCCCTATGTGACGAACTTTTGCAACAAGAATGGCCACGAGCCGTTTAGAAATCATCTAGCAGAACAACTGGCGAGAATGTTACGCCAGCCGCCGAGATCAGCGACGTGCCAGAGAAGGTAGGCATTTTCATCTTCCCACTTCACTCGTGCCAGCATGAAATCAAGAAAACACAATCGACATCAGCTCAAAAAGCGCCTATACCATATTTTTCGCCTTCACCTTCGCCCTCACCTCCCTCTCGGTACACATCTTCCAATACCACCTCAGCGACGCCCTCGCCTCAGTCGTAATCGCAAACGTAAGCAACAGCACCGGCACCGCCGTAACCCAAAACACCCACCCCTTACTCTCGCCGGGCAAAAAATCATCCGTCATGGAGAAAATCGCCGCAATAGTCGAAAGCGGCACAAACACCATTGTCACATTGGTAATCTGTGCCAGACTCAACGCATTCCGATTCGCCGCCTGCGCCTCCTGCATCGTCGTAAACTGGAGGTAAGACTGCAAAAACGCTTCGGCCATGGTAATCACCCTGCCGCAATAATCTTGGACGGTGAGCCACCCATCTCGTTCCCACTCCGGAGCGCCAGGGCGGTGTAAGCCGAGGACTTCGAATTGCTCTTTTACTTCTGAGCTGACGAGACCCATGATGTACTTGATGTTTACGACGAAGCCGAAGACTTCGTGGTGCCAGCTACTTATCAGTCCCTCGCCGAATTCACGCAAGTAGTCGCAGCGGTTCGTGTGCAAGATGGCGGTGCGCGGGTTCTGCTGGAGGCGCAGCATGTTGAGGATGCGGCGGCGCAGAAAACTCAGGAAGTAGCATACGGCTAGTCTGCGGGCGACGTTTGTGCAGCTGCGGGGGCCGATGGAGTGTGCGGGCTCATCGGGTGTGAGAGATAATATGTCGTCGAATATAGACTCATATTTGGGGCGTTGCCATGTACCGGACCAGTCGGAAGGGTTGGGTGGTAGGATGTCCAGGTCGGTGAATTCCGGGTCGAGACTGTGCATGCGGGTGTATGCATGTTCTTCTGAGCAGTGGTCTACAGGGAATTTGCATCCGTTTGCGAGAGATGTTACGGTCTCGCGGACTGGTGGGTCGACTATCAGCACCGCTATGGAGCCCGTCAGCAATTTCTGAGTGTGTGTGTGGAGTAGCTAGAGAAAGCGGCGCCATACAATCCCACGAGCCATCAGGTCTAACACCGGAGGTCCAAAATGATAGGGCGTGGTAGCTTTTTGGCTGGTCGAGAATCGGGGCTTTGGGGTCGTAACAGTATACATGGCGCTGGATGTTGAAGTCACAGCGGAAAATGTTGCCGTGCACTTCTCGGTCTGCGTCTATACGTAATGGCTGAGTAACAGCGTATCTAATGCTAAAATTCTTTTCCGAGTATCGGCGAAGGGGGTTACTGTAGTTGAATTCAGGTGTTGCTGGATCGGCCCAGTGGGCAGCGAAGAAGGTGGGGGGGATCCGTAGCTGCGCACCGAGTATCTCAAGGTAGTTGAAACCCAAATCTTCCAGTATAAAGAGTCTCTTTCGCGGTTGCAGTTCCTGTGCGGCTAGCGGATCGTCAAAATGGGCTTGGAGCCTTTGCGAATTCTTGAATATCTCCGGTTCGAATATTTCATCATCGCGGTACTCTATCACTGCTACTCTGCCTCTTTCTCTTTCCAAGGTTGTCTGGGCTTTTAGGTTGCGCAGGAAGTTTGGAAATAACCAGTGGAGTTGCAAGTCGATGAGGTCGTGGTATGCTTCGCGTGCATCCTTGTCGCAAAACGTTGTCGATCTCTCGTTCCAGGTACCGGTTGGTGATGATTTCTCGTCCATTGTCAATTGGTGGCCATTGGCAAGACAACTGATCGGTACCCTAACAACCGTTTAATAACGGTAGCTTCTACATGTCTGGGCAGGGGAGTATGGCCCAGCCTTGGGGGCGAAATCCTAGGAACCGTGGCTGTGTGTTGGTGGTGGTGTAGCACAGCTGTCCCATTGGCCCTGCGATGACTTTGGCCAGGGGAGTATGCAGACTGACTGCAGCATATCACGGGAAATACACTACCGGTGCTCGACTATGCTTGAACCGAGGTGAGGGGTTTCTTGCTCCTCCTGCTCCCATCGCCACTTCAAGTACGGCTTGAGTTCCTTGTCTGTTGGCACTACCCTTTTCCATTCTGGCTCAATCCCAACCACGCCCTCCGTGCCGCGTAGTCTATCCCGGTAAAAGATACGATAGCTATCAAGTGCATATGCACCCATGCCCGGCAGATGAGCAATTTCCCAGCCCTCTCGTTCGTCGTCGGGTCCTAATACCTCTCCGGGCCTGACATTTGTCCCACATCCACGGTCTGGGTAGTGCAACCTCCGGTATCTTCGTTGTCTGCATGGAGGCGCAGCAAGCCAGGCGTCTGCTAGGGCTATAAGCCGTATGGCCCGGATTCTATGCAGGCCTATGGGTTGGAGCATGTTGATTAGGTCGTGGAGCGGTGCTACGGATAGTTCGTTTGGAGAAGGATAGGCTGAGAGCAGCTCGAACAGCACCGGTCGGGCCATTTGGCCACGGGTTTGGTTCCATAGAATGGCCTGGACTACTAAGGCATACAGACTATCACATATGCGTTCTTGGATTAGACCGTACTTGGCAGGTTGGAGGGTTAAGCTGAGTCCTGAGGGCTGAGGTATTATACGAGGATGGTTTTGTTTATCGAGTCTGGTCTTGGTTGGAGAAGAATGCTTCTTCTTTTGGGGAAGTGGGGCGTGTTGCGAGGCACCCTCCCCGTGTGTTTGATTAGAGGGTCTAATTCGACGACTTCTTGTTACTACTGGCATAGCTGAATAGCCAAAGATAGCCAAAACACTTGCTTACATGCAGGAAGAAAGGATCATGGCTAGCTGGATCTTGTCATCCGGAAACATCAACTCCACTCCCGCGGCGCTAACAGCTAGAATCCCTACGTCATCGAAACGCCTCTGTTGTCCTGACGATCGAAACACACCGTCCAGCTAGAAATTGTTCAGACGGGATGGTGAGACCTAAAGAAAAGCCATGGTACCAATGCGTAACATATCGCGCAACGTAGTCCACACTAGGGTTTCTTCACAAGCACCCAGAAACCCGGACTTGGGTCTCGGTGCTATTCAACACAGTAGCACCGCCGTGATCAAACTCCATCCCAGTGCACGTCCTCCATCTCACGTTCACGTCGCACCTCACCGTAAAAAAAAACCTCAAGTCCCTTCATATCGCGGCATGACATATCAAACCAGCACCATGCTCCCTAAACTTGCCTGAACGCAAAGAATGAGGCTGCCAGCCATATGCTATCCCAACCAGCTGCCCCACCTCACCGTTTAGCTCCACCCGCAAAAAGCATAGAGCCTGCCTCGCCCACATAATCCGTCATCGGAACCTCTCGGATCATCATCATCATTGCTATCGTGCAAAAAAGCACGATCAAATGTGACCTTGTTTACCAATTGCATCCGTAGCCCAAACAAATAAACAAACAAAAAGAGTTGGACCAAAGGGTAAAGAAAAGCAACAATGCCTTCTTTCTCGGATGATGGAGACATGGAGGAGTGGGCAGATCATGCTTCAACAAACAAGCGCTACGAAGGCGAAGACACCAGTCCAACCACCCCCCGTGAATTAAAGGGCTGGTATGCGTATCCTATCGCTGCTGAAGTAAATTGATTTTTTTCCAACAACCCCCGGACTGTCCAAAAAAAAGACTAACTTGCACGTTTAGGTTTTTGCTGTTGTAGCTGTCGGTACGTCCCCCATACTCACCATCTACCCTTCCACCTTCTCAATCCCAATCGCAACCTATAAGAATAATAGACTTATGAGACCACACAGGCGCCTTCCTCCCCGTCCTCCTCGAGCAACTCGCCCGCGAAAACGGCGTCTTCTTCTCCGACCCCTCACGGCCATGCGTCTCTCATTCCACCTCTTCTCGCCGCGCCAGCGAGAAAGAAGCAGCACCAGCTTCTTCAGAGCAGTGCATGGTAACTTACCTCGGCATGCAAATGTCAACCAGTAGTCTCGCGCTGTATACATCGTCAGCGGCGGTGCTGCTGCAGGCGCTGGTGCTGGTATGTTTGAGTAGTTTTGCTGATTATGGTACGACTTCCCCCCGCCCTCTAATTATCATTACTATCTTTGACCTGAAGAATACTAAAACGGTGATTTCTAGGTCCATACCGCAAGAAGATGCTCATGATCACGTCGTATACGGGATCCGTCGCAAGTTGCCTCTTCATCTTCATCTCACCATCCTTATACCAACTCGCTCCTCTCCTCGTAATCATCGGCGTAGCGTGCCTGGGATGTTCATTTGTACTGCTCAACGCCTTTCTACCGCTGCTCGTTGCAAGCTATCCAGATAACAACGTTACTGGTGGAAAGGGGTTATCAGAAGACGATGATTCAGCCGTCGAACTCGACAGTTTAAACGCAGACAATGAAGCCGCAGCGTCACGCAGGCAAGATGCAGAGAGACTGGCACGCGATCTCGAGCGCTCTGCGCAGATAAGTTCAAAAGGAGTGGGATACGGATACATGGCTGCTGTATTTGTCGAGATAATCGCCATCCTCATCATCTTCGTCTTCAGCAAAACCTCGTTGGCCAAAACCTCGCCAACCCTCTCCATCCGCGTCGTGCTCTTCATGGTCGGCCTCTGGTGGGCCATCTTCTCCATCCCAACTTTACTCTGGCTACGCGAACGTCCCGGTCCCCCTTTACCCGTGCAGCAACGCAGCAACGCCTTCGCGTCCAGCGCATCCAAACTCCGCACTTTTCTCTTCTACACCTCCTTCTCGCTCAAAAGCTTCTGGACGACGCTGAAAAAAGCAGTCCGACTCCGTCAAACACTCATCTTCCTCATCGCATGGTTCCTCCTCTCCGACGCCGTAGCCACCATCTCGGGTACCGCCGTGCTCTTCGCAAAGACCGAACTGCACATGAGTACCATCGCCATTGCGCTCCTCTCCATCACCTCCATCGGCTCCGGCATCATCGGCGCCTTCGCCTGGCCACACATCCAGCGGCACTGGGCGCTCCAACCGAAAACAGTCTTACTGTGCTGCGTGGCCGGTATGGAGATAATCCCTCTGTACGGTCTCCTCGGCTACCTCCCCCTATTCCAGCGGCTCGGCTTTATAGGCTTGCAGCGCGCGTGGGAGATTTATCCCATAGCCGTCTTACACGGCATCGTCATGGGCGGAATCTCATCATATGCGCGCTCGGTCTTTGCGCCGCTGATCCCCGAGGGGAGCGAGGCCGCGTTCTTCGCCCTCTACGCTGTCACGGATAAGGGGAGTAGTGCTGTGGGACCCACGCTCGTAGGCCGTATCACAGACAACGCGGGCACGATTCGTCCCGCGTTTATCTTCTTGGCCGTCCTGGTTATGCTGCCTGCGCCGCTTTTGTGGCGCCTAGATGTTGAGCGGGGCAGAGAGGATGCGAGGGCGATGGCCGAGGGAGAGGCCAGGGGACGTGGCAGGTACGAAAGAGTCCGTACTGAGTGATTTTCAGCCGACAAGGTTCGGAGGTGCCGAGGCGAAGAAGGGGTATATGATATGAATTTTGTACAAGCCTCAAGTGGCTTTATTTTTTTTTCCTTTCCCTAGATAGTTTGTGCCTCGGCCTAGTGAAAAGGCACCGGCAAACGATAAAAGTGACGGCCGATTTTTTTTATGCCTGGTCTTGTATCTTGGGGCGCTTACTATCCCTGTCGTTGCTTTCGCCGAATCGCTTTCGTTCTCCGAGAGGCTTTGCGTTTGCGCCCGTGGCGCCGTCTCTATCCCTGTCTCTTGCGCCATGTCCATCTGGTCTGAACCGCTCATCCACACCGTACTCGCCCTTGTCCTTTCGTGGGCGGTCATCCCCAAAGTCTCCCCATTTACCCGTGTCCTCCGTCTTCATGTCTCTGTACCGGGTGCGTCCCTTTTTACCAAGCTTCGTCATATCCCGAATCTGCATGTATTCTGGTAGAATTTCGCGGTTTGTGTCGTCTTCGAAGCGGGCGTTCATAAGGTTGCGGCGGTCGACGCCGAGTTCCTTGAGTTCGTCGGTGAAGAAGGCACCCTTGTGGAAGTACTTTTGCATGTATTGCATTTGGCCGCGGTCGCCTTTTTCTTCCTTTTGTTTCTCAATAAATTCGCGGTCTTCGGCCTCACGCTCGGCGGCTGATAGGTTGCGCCGACGTTCAATCTCGGCGCGCTCCGCTTCAGCTTCTTCGATAGCGAGACGTTCACGCTTGATGCGCTTGAGTTCGCGAAGTTTCCAGGCTGCATATTCGGCGTCGGGATCGACCCCATCGGTGTCGTCGATGGCGTTGATGTCGGCGTCTTCGATGTCATCATCCCAGTCCTTTTTGCCTGCTGCCTTTTCGGCTATTCGTTGTTCGACCTGTTCCTGCACGAGTGCTCTTGCCTGTTCTTGTCGCCGTGCCTCTTCCTCTGCTGCTAACTCGTCTGCTGACTTGACAGGCGCCGTAATCTTGTTTCGCTCGCTCTTCTTCAGAAAGACTGGTCGCAGTAGTTTCTTTGGTGCCTCGTCTTCGCTACCCGATTCCTCCTCTGACGACTCGTCCTCATCGCTGCCGCTTCCACTGTCACTCCCACTCCCACTTCCACTGCCACTGCCATCTTTTTCTCCTTCGCCCTCGCTCTCAGTCTCGAACTCGTCTTCTAGCGCTTTACGCGCATCCTCGCTTTTTTGCCGCGACGCGAGTCTCGATTTGGCTGCCGATGATGCAATAGGTGCGGGTTTTGGTTTCGCGAAAGGTTTTAATTGGGGCTTTTGCTCTTCGTCCTCTGAGTCGGATTCTGAGCTGGACCGCTCCTCGGGTTCTGCGACTGCTGGCTTTCCAGCGAATTGGCGCGTGCGGACTGGTTGCGCGGTGAGCTTCTTAGGCTTTGGCGGCGGCATGGTTGAGAAATGTTTGAGTGGCGCGCAAATCGAGTGTAGAAACAGGCAGGCCAGTTGGAGCGCGAACGCGATACCGCGGCTGCAAGCGGCTTGGCGCGTAGGGCTGAGCCCAATCCGCTTGCAATTCATCACGACCACAATTATTATTTTTGACACTTAATTAGATCCTTCCCTCTGGATCCAATGCTTGTAACGTAGAATTTCCCATCTAGGTGGTTTTCAAAGGCTCTATTTCATGCCCAACGATATCCTGATTTTTTGCTTATATTATTATATGTTTTCAATTTTGGAAATGATGGCTAAAAAAGATACCATGTGTTTGCACTTTCTTCCTTCTTCATAAAATGGATATGTTAAAAGAAGAGCTAAGCCTACCCTAAGTCAAGCTACTTGAATAAGATACACCTCAGTTACGGTACAAAATATATTTACAATCATGATTCGTCAGAATAGTGTGAAGGCTGCCACCAATCATGTGCTCGGAAATAGACACCACGACATCATCAATTCATGCCATTCGACAAAAACTTTGCTTATGACTATGGGAAAGTAGAATTCAGATAAACCATGAGAAAAAAAATTCTTCACATCATCCGACATACCAGATCTTCTAGATAAAGTAATTTTTGCAATTATCCGCTCATCGGAGACAATACACTACTGTTTTTTAATGGCAGCTATTCCATCATGGATGATCATAATCCAGCCCATCACTGTTGCCAGCCGTAAAACACCAGTCATGAGAATTTCATCGTCTGTAACCCGTCCGGCTACGACGGATTTGGTAGAATGCACCCAATAACGCCTACGAATGCTATGATGCAGTAAGGAAAAAAAAAGCTTTGACCAAATCAAATGGCCAACAGAGAGCCTCCCAATAGTATAATGCACGCTCGAACGCAACAGATATCATGGCCACCGGACCAAAAGGTAACGCAAATATAGCTGAAAGGAGGCTAGTCGAGAGTTGATACATGAAGATGATGTAATGACCCATTTACCTGAAAACAGGTTGTTGGGGGATGGGGAGTTGGTTGAATTGGTTCGTCTCGGGCCAAGCACTACGGTCCATGTAGGGCAGCAAGCCCGACCGACGGTCAGTCATGGGTCGACCCAGTGGCTGGTACTGCATTTGATCGTATGCAATGTTACGCGCAGGGTTGTGGATCGATGTTTGGGGAGGTGGGACAAGCAGGGTGTGCACACCACGGACCGGTCGGTAAGGCGACTGTCGCTGGTTGAGGAAGTGCGAAGGCGACAGCTGACGAGAACCCGTTGCAGGATACGAAGTATTCACAGGCGACGACCCTGCAGATTGTAGATACGGGCTAACCTGACGAGGCTGCTCGGCAGAGGGTGTGTAGCTGTGAGGGAAAGCAGGAGGGGCTGAACTTGTAGGAGTGTTACTAGGCTGTGGCCATTGAACCGGTGGTGGGTATACCATGGCCATGGACCGGCCTCCAGGTACAGGCAAGGGGAGCTCAGACCAGGTCTTTGCTTGAGTAGGTGGTACTTGCTGAGGTGGAGGGATCGAGAGGCTGGGCAGAGGCGGCAGGCGGTTCACAGATGGCGGCGGTTCAAACGATCTGTTGATGGGCGTCTGGAGCGTGGGGATTGGAGGAGCGTTGCTGTAGGGTCCAGGGGCGAATCCGTGAGCCTGTCGCTTCGCTGGTGGTTCGTTGGTGTAGTCTGCACTGCGTTTGCGTTGGATTGAACCTAGCTCTGGAAGAGCACCAATGGGAGAAACGTTAGTAGACGTAGCCTGTGGTTGCAACAGCGGTGTCTTGGAGAGTGCAACGTGGCTCGGAGAGTACAGCGAGGTTTGCGGAGACGCTTGTTGCTGGGTCGGTGGTGAAGGGACCACGTTTGCAGGAACGCCGAGCATGTTCTGGGGTCCAACTGGGCTGACGGCGCCGGATGCGGGTATCTTGGAGGCCTGGTCAAAGAAGGTACCAAACTTGCCCAAAATACCGTGCCACTCGGTCCACTTTTCCTTTGAAGTAAAAAGACTGTAGCGCATATTGCTGAGGAATTCGACTTCCATGATGTGAACCTCTTGTACTGAGATGCCCGAGACTTCGGCCCACGTCTTGTTCGTATACGTGTTGTCATCGAGGAACTTGTTTCCAAGCATTAGCGCCACGGTGAGAAGACGGTATTCGCTGCCGGGCTTTCCCTTGACAGTTGGGTTGGTCTGCTTCAGCCTGTATATGAAGAGGAGTGCGAGAAGAATGACATTCTGTGCTACCTGGGTCGTCGTCAGAATGGTGGCTACCCATTTCCGGAAGCCAGTTGTAGGATGTGCATCTGGGACTAGAGGCTGCATGGGCTGGCGAGGCGAGGTTGTGTCAACGACTTGTTTCAGGGTGGCCGAACTCTCGAACCAGAAAAGACAGGTAATCTGCAAAGTTAGATAGGACGCTTTACTCGAAATAGGACATGCCACTTACCTCTGCTGCCAGTTGAGGAAGGCCCTCTTGTGGTGTGTTGATGGTTGGTGGGATGCGTAGATTTGGAGATATTGACCACTTCTTCTTTGGCGTTTGCGATGTCTCTTGTGCCTGTTGCTGTTGCTGTTGCTGTCGTTGCGGGCTGGGGCTTCTTGGTGCAGCTGCTGATCTCGAGTTGCCAATTGCGGGTAGTTGGTAGCCATACTGATTGCCAGAGCCCTGGTTGGATGGGAGCGAGACGACCCGTAGTGCGGAGCCAGGAAGGTCTGGAGGCGTAAGGGGAGCTCGAGAGGCTGTGCGGAGGGGGTCGTGATCGTAGGCGTTGGCCATCCTTGGATATGGAAGCTGCATGGCGTTGTCCAGCTTGGAGGATGGTTGAGGGCCGGGGGCGTAGAAGGTGAAGGAATGCTCCCGCGGGATGGCGTGAGGCATTGGACGGGGGAGCTGTAGCTCGAGCATGCGGACGACGGAAGGTGAATGAGGGTTTAGAGCAAGATCAAGGTGAGGGGGCGGTCATGGAAACGGCAGACAGCTATTGTTTGCAGAACGTCTGGCTCGAGGGCATATCCAGCAGAAGAGGCAGGTGGAGTGGAGGCAGACTAAAAAGAGAAACAAGAGGAGCCGGCGGGCCAGGTATGGATTGGAAGCAAGGAGCACGATGGCAACTATTGCGGATGACAGCCACCGGGGGTCAATGTTTGGGTGCTAAGCCAATGAAGGCAGCCTTTGTTGGGGACAGCGGGAAGCGACGCTTGGGCGGCGGCGGCGGCGGCGGGTGGTGGAGGACAAGGGCGAGGCGAGGATGGTGGGAATGGTGGGAGTAAGGGTGAGTGTCGGTGGGCATGGGGGGGAGGAGGAGTAGTAGTAATAGTAGTAGTACTTGGATAGAGGATATGAGAGAGAGCGGGCAAGCATGTATGTATTAGGTGGTAGGCGTATGTACTACGTAGGAGGTGTAGGGAGACGGACAGTCGGGGGCCCGCACACAGGCAGGGCAGATATGGCTTGGGGCCGTTGGATTTGAATAAAACATAGGTAATTCACACACACGGAGTCGTGAAGGGCTCGGAAGGTTCCAGGCAGGAGCGCGAGCAGGGTAGAAGGAACGCCCCAAGAGGCTGATCCAAAGCCGCGCTCTGACATCAACCGCGCCTGCGTGTTGCTAGCCGCGCACGGGCCCGGGGGGCACAAAGCAACCGGGGGCACGCCGCCAGGGCAGCGGCGACCCGCCAAGCCGCGCGGGCGGATTAGCTGATTAGCTGATTAGTGCGAGTGTGAGTGCCTGCCTGCCTGCCTGCTTAGCTGCTGGCTGCTATCGCCTGCACGCTGAGTGGCCCCGGGTCGTGGTAGTGACTAAGTGTAGTCGGTGGTCAGTGGTAAGAGGGCAGGAGCGACCGACTGACTGACTGACTGACTGAATGCGCAGGCACAAGCGACTGCCCGGCCGACCGATTGCGACTGCCTGACTGACTGGCTTCCTGGCTGCATCTGGCTAGCGGGGCCTAATAGCTGGGCTGCCTGGCCGACTGGCTGGCTGGCTGGCTGACTGACCGACCGACCGACTGACTGACTGACTGACCTACTGGCTCCCGCTGAGTAGAGAAGTGTGTGTGTGCGTGTGTGAGTGTGTGAGAGCAGAGGCATAGCAAAGAGGCCAGGCCAGGCCCGGGTCAGATGGCGTCAAAGAACCACTCGCTCCCTCAACCAGCCCGGCTGCCAACCACAACCACGACCAACCGACCAAGACGACGACCACTGCCTACTATGGCTACTACGGCAATTGTCTACACACGACTACGCCGACTTACATACCCACGATGCCGCTTCCGCCTACGCCCAAGCCTCTAGGGAAAACAAGGGCCCAGCTGCGCCGCCCACCAGTGTCATCATCATCAATCCCATCATGGCCAGCGTCATCCCAATCCTCATCGTGGTTGTCATTAATTATGGTTGTTGTTGTTATTATTATTATTATTATTATTGTGATTATGATTATGAGTACCGTTACCTACCCTGTCCCTCGCACCAGCCATGATCAATCTACCCACATAGCATCCAAGCATATCTAAGTACTCTACGCAGTCTCAGCCTGCCTCGCTCGCCGTAATACATACCACACACCCACCACTCCCACCCACACACGCACAACCTGGCTGCACATGCGACAACGGCACCCTCGAACCGGCTCCCACTCCCACTCCTACTCCCATTCGCACATGCACCGTGACTTTTGCAGCAGCAGCAGGAATTGCCGGAAGCGGAGGCGCTGAGTGCAGCTTGGGCGGGTTTGCGGATAGCGTCGTGCGAGGCCGTGCAGCTGCGCATCCGTGGTCCATCCAGCAACAATAACAACAATCATCATCTCACTCACGCCTCCACCACCACCATGTCCACCACCCACACGCTCGCATCTGATACTACTACTACACACACACACACACACACACACACACACACACACACACACACACACACACACATGCACTCTTACACGCACACACGCACACACTTACTCACATGTACACATACGCGCGCGCACACACTCACACACTCTCTCTTACACACACACCCCTCCATCCATCCATCGCTCATATCACTCGCGCCTTCATTTCCGGCCCTGCCGTGTTTGACCTGCAGCGCTTGTCACTGGCCGTGCTGCACCACTCGTCGCCGGCCATGCCAAAAAAGCACCCTGCGATGCCGATGCAAAGACTGCCGTGCTGCCACCACACTCAGAAGCGATACGAACCAGGCCGCCCAGCCAGACCGCGGACTAGCGGACTCGCGGTCTTACTTTACCCTAAGCATGCCCTAAATCCGAGCCCGAACCCTGTCCAACGCGACGCTTTGCAGGCTGAAGTTTGAGCGGGTGCTGGTGATCGTCAATCCTCTGTTTTTTTCTCTCTGCCCTCCGTCTTGCCTTGGTGTGACTTGCAATCATTGAGTGGATCCCACCACGCCCTGTCTGTGTCGAGGGCTCGGCCTGCCTTGTATCTTTGCCGGGCCAATAGCCGCTCAACACCCTTTCCCGACGCTAGATAGCAGCTCGTTATTGAAGCATGTCCGCCTGTCCGCCTGCCTGCTGAGCACTGCTGCTGCTGAGCACTGCTGCTGAGCCCTCCAAGCAAGGCGAGGACAGGGCAGAGCAGGGCAGGGCAGGGCAGGGCAGGGCAGGGCAGGGCAGGGCAGGGCAGGACAGGGCAAGACAAGGCAATCTGCACTGCACAACCGCCCCTGACCAAACGCATATTGCCTTACCTTGCCTTGCCTTGCCTTGGGGGTTCTGTTGCGCGCGCCTTAGTTACTGCATTCTGGCTCCTTGCACGCGTCCACCCAAGCCCCCCGGTGGATGGTTCCAAGATGCCCGAATTAGTTGGCGTGCACACACGGCCTGGGGCACCCACTCATCTCGGTCCTCTGCCTTGCCAACAAGTGTGTTGCCATGCCATGGCCCTCTTCCCTCCCATCCCTCCCTCATCCAGACCTGACCTGCCGCGGGCTGGCGGGTTGGCGGGCTGGTGGGTTGATGAGTCGCTACCTGCGTGCAGTAGTAGCAATAGCAGCCGCAGCAAGCCCACACACGGTGGTTCGCGGATGCTGACCTGTTGACTGCTCCTAGCACCTCCACCACCCGTCCTTGGGAGCGAGCCATGTTTGCTTTCTCTCGACTAACTGCCCTTTGCCTGTCTCGTCTGGCCCACATCCTACACAGCCCATGGCCCATGGCCCATGGCCCATACCCAGCAAGCAAGTCCAAGCAAGCAAAATCGGCCATGTCTGCAGCCGACGCCTCTGCTGAGAAGGGCCCGCTGCGCTAACCGTGGAACCGTAACCGTGACCGTGACCGAGATATTGCTTTGGCAGGCAAGTTTGCAAGGGATTCGCTCCAGCCCCGTAATCTATCCATAGCACCATCTGTGGCGCCGGTGAAGCGCAGCTTCGCAATGCAATGAGAATGTTGCTGTGCAATGGTGGAGCATCGTTGCGAGCGCCCGTCATGCGCAATGAGGTGCAGGGGTGTCGGTGAAAAAAAAATCGATGCCCGCGTAATCAACGGCGGCCCTCCATGACACGACACGACACGGACAATGGGCAAAAGGCTTTGGCAGCAAGGAAGCAGAGGCATGATTGCATTGCACATGCCTGTTTAGCTCAAAAGTCTTGTCCGGCGAAGATCAAGTGGGTAATAGAATACGGCGTGCCATCATGTATCGGTTCCATGTCGGTGTTGGGGGGTGGGAGGGGGTCGAGATCTCAAACACGTCCGTCCACCTTTCGCTACAGGCAAACGGGATGCTCGGGATGGCCGTCTAGCTGCTTGTGGCGGCGAATCACTGCCAAGCGCCCTCCAACCGTGGAAGCCCGCTCGTCGTGTTGCAATGGTGATGCATCTATCGAGGCTAGCTCGCCCGGGCGCCCTCAGCATCTTCACACTCGCCCAAGTCCAGAGTCAAGTGATACCGTCTGTGTATACATAGACACACAAAGGACATCGTCAACCCCCATCGCCTGACCACCTCTGCCCGTGGAGACGAAGCCGCCTAGAGGGAGCTCACATCTCGGCCGTCCTCACGGCTCACGGGCGACGCTCGGCTCCGCTTTCCCTTCGTCATTCATTGATTGCACCACTTGCCATTCCGCTGCCTTTCCCACCACTGCCACCCCCCCCTTCTTCCCCTCCCCCCCGATTTAAACTATGTATACGATGATGAGTATTAGCGCGAGTCGTTACCCGGCGCGCCCAGCCATGGATATTTGCGCTGCCTGGTGTATGACCCGCCTATGCCAGTTGCGGCACATGTATTAGCTTGCCCATATGGCGCGCTGAGACGTACCGTGCTTCTATACGACGCGTACACATGGGGATATGTCATCCATTGTCAATAGAAAATCCGCCGTCTGTTTCGCTGCAATCAAGTCTGCCGAGCCGCACCATGGTAGCTCATCTAGTGCGACCTTTATTGTGCCCCGCAATCCGGCGACAAGATATCCGCTGCTACTGGGATGAGACAAGGAAAAGGAATCAAAAAAACACCCCCAGACCCAGTGCGACTGACTGACCGAGCAGCGAGTGCGAGCCTTTGACGGCACGCGCAAAACACGAACATCCCCTTGTTGCCTGCCTGGATGCAGTCAGAAACGACCCGTCACGCCCTGTCCGCAAATCCGCTGGCTGTTGGCTGCTGGCTGCTGGCTGCTGGCTGCTTCTCGCCTTGGCTTGTCAAAAAACCACTACGCCGCTACGGCTCCTTCAATCCGGACTACCACAACGAGTCTGGCCTTTGCCGCGGCCCTGCAAAAGCACACACGCCCATGGACGCACAGTCTGGTGCAAGCCAAACGCCTCATGCCGACTCAGCACCGTGTGTATTCCTTTGCCACACACACTCTCTCTCACAAAACCCACAGCCTTGACGTTAGTTTCTTCACACCGCGTCCTCCACATCCATCTCACACTCATCCCCGCTCTCTGGCGCGCTCAAACAGGTAGGTAAGACGACCCCTGGCGAATAAGCACAGCGGAACCCCACGCAATTACGCCTCTATCCAAACAACGACCCAAACCCAAGGCATCCGTGTCCGTGTCCGGCTCGACGCATTCCTTGCTCGACTTTGTACATATGCCGTTGTATCAAAGCTATAGTGAGATGCAACCATCCGGCCTCAAGCTCTTGATTGTCGCACAGTGTCACAGCATGCTGACTGGTCAGGCCACCCGGCGGGAGCAATAGCCTTCATCAAGGGGTTACCACTGCTTGCTTTGCACCGGAAATTGAATAAAAATGTATATGTACAAGGGGCCGGTGTATCGATCTGCGCAGTTGTGTGTGTGTGTGTGCTCGTGTGTGTCTGGTGCACATACACTTACTTGCTCACTTTCGCACATATGACCCAAAGCACCCATTTCCGCTCCTGCTTCGGCCACGACGCATCATGGTCGTAGGTGGATGCGTTACGCCACATGGGCCATTTTAGCGAAGGACCCCCATATCTGTGTGACCGGGTTACATACCGTACACCTCATAACACCCCTTGCTTCCAAGGACATGCAGCGTGTTCCTTCTATTTGCGCCTACGATAACGGTCCCGACGTCGGCCAGGACCTTGTCAATAATCACTACTACTGATTACTACTATTCCTCCTACTACTCACATACATACCACCATCACCGCCACCACCCAAATTATCTCAGGCTAGCTCGCTAACACTGCACCCTTCCTTACTTTGTCATGGGCAATATGCTTTCGCCGGCTACATAGCACATGATCCAAGTTCCGTTGGTCGCCTAACGTTGGTTATTAGACCAACGATGATCTTACTACTAGCAGCAACTTGAAATCAGGCGGTGCTCTTGATACCTTCAGCCACCATGTCACCAGCCCATTGCAACCAACAAAATAACCCTTGTGCCTGGCGGATATCGCAACACCACTTTGCCAGGATGCACGTCTGTGCTTTGCTTTCTTTCTGATGCATCGCAAAGTCAGATTGTCATCGCCAACCATGAGTGCTTTGTTCGCTACAGATGGGCGCGCACGTATGACGGGCAGTTTCCAACCCATCCCTGAAAAAAAATACGCCGCAGCACCTCTTTTACTTTGGCACTCATACATTACACTTCCAACTTTTCCCCCTTCCAAGGATTCGCAAATGATGAATGTGTACATGTTTTCTCACGTCAACACGAGAGTGTCTGTCCGGGTCCCCTGCGCCACCTTGCATGTCATCAAGAAAAAAAAATAGTTCGGGATACCCCATCCTATTTTTGCCCTGCCCGTTTCCAAAATGTTGTACCAGTTTAGGCCGTGTGCATTTCGCCCTAAAAGATAAACCGACCTGTCCTCGCCACAAGACACACACAATATATGCTCAGCCTCGTACAACCCCAGCAGGGAAGGGTGGAAACCGCAGGCAAGCCCCCAGCCCAAGCCCAGCCCGTTTTTTTCCTTGAATCAAAGCATCTTTGTAAGACACGCAGCCCTGTCTCACTTCACTCACTTCCTGGTGCCTCCGGCTCATGTAACGCCCGCTCCGTCGGGAGCTGCTTGCCCAACCACATTGTTCAACTCACTCCTCCTTTTGTCTATTACACGTATACATCCTCTGTGGACAAGGGAATCAATATGTCTAGACCCCCCACCTTACATACACACACACGCACGCACACACGCGCGACATAATGCACTTACGCGTCGGTCCAGCATCCGCCCTCTCGCTTTTTTTCTCTTTGCAGATGCGCACATGTTCATGTATGGACGTTTTCTTGCGCTTGCTTGGTCACCTGGGCATACATATGCAATGTGTTGGACAACAGGTTTCTAGCTTGGCGCTTTCGCCACCGAATTGACCGAATTGACCGACCGGATAACGCTGCTGGTTTGTCAAAGAAATGCGTCTCTGGGCGGTATAAGCGAAAGATTCTTCTCGGCTTAGCTCTGGTTTTTTGGATGGTTCCGTTGTTCCCCTTCTCCGTGTCGTGTGAGTACAACCACTATAACTCCGTCCCCATCGTTATCTTTCCATTCTTGTTTCTGGACGCTATACCCGGTTTTCCCTTGTTCTGCTTGTGGATACCTACATAACCTCCCCATTTTTTCTTTTCTTTTTTTCTTTTCGTCCGTACGCCAACATCATAGCAATTGAACTTATGAAATACCTTACTCTTTGCATATGAGCGGGAGGAAAAAAATTTCATGCGTCTTTGCATTACCGACAGGTTATCCGCCGTGTCCGCCCATGAGATGGAAAACGGGACCAAGTCGGAACTGCATTTCTTCTCACGGCAATAAGCCCAGTCACCATGTCCTCTTTCTTGATAATATCCTTCTGGAAAGAACGGATGGCATGGGGCTTACGAAAGGTATATTGTTCGTATATGTAGGGGATGCATGGTTTGAGTATAGTTGCCCCGGGCAGGGGGGAATAAGCCAATCAGACGTCCGAATGGGGTAAATCTTACGTGCAGAAGGGCGGAACTCAGGTCCAAGTACATTCACACAGAACGCAGGCAAGTAAACGGGATGGGACTGCCTGAACAAGAAGAGAGGAAGGGTAGGTATCGAGGCAGTTTTTTTCATTCGCAAGCACCTGATCTCCAAGAGTTTTTTTTCTCTCTTTCTTTCTAAGCACTTTGCCGGTGAAAACGCGACTTCCATACGCCCACACCCTCACACACCATCACCCACCAACCGCTGCTCGTTCATCTCCCATGTCCGTATCCCTAAGCACACCTTCTCTTCCCCTCTCCCTCTCCCCCCAAAAAAACAACTCATCACCTTACTATTCTCGGTCTTTCCCCCTTTCCACACAACAATCCAATACTCGTAAAACCCCCTCACCCCACATCCCACAATCCTCAATCCATAACTCTTGAACCCGTATACACACACACACACCCCTCACAATCCCTTCCCCCCCAACCCCAAACCCCATCTATAAATAACCCCGCCGCCCCGCTACAACCCCCCAGCCTCGTCATCACCCAAATCTCCGAACAAAACAAAGCCCCCCCCGTACTTATGTGCACGCTCTTTATGCTCCACATCCCCCACATACCTTCTCCCTTCTTGTCCCGAGTGAGAAAGAGAGAGAGAGATAGATAAAGGGAGGGAGATTAGAGGAGAGGAGAGAGACCTAGCTTGGCTGGCGTTTCAAAGCTGGGGGGATACGGGTTTCATGTTGCTGATTTACACGAGGAATTGACCGAGGGAAGGGGGCTAGGTTTATTGGGATGTGGATTTTGAGGGTGTGATGGATGGATGGGGGAGAGGGAA